TGGCAATTGACAGTTAATAACTGGAGATTGACTGTTACTGTCTGGCAATTGCCACTTACTGTCAGTTTAGTTAAAAAAAATGTATGTGACCGTTCAGCGTTTTCGTACTTTCGTATGATCTTTTCGAAATTCGAAAATTGGACAATGACTTTCTGAGTTTTAATTGCCTGTTACTAACTGGCAAATTACAGCTGCTATCTGGCTATTGCCACTTACTAACTGTCAATTTAGTTAAAAAAATGTGTGTGACCCTTAAGCGTTTTCGTGCTTTCGTAAGATCTTTTCGAAATTTGAAAATTGGACAATGACTTTCTGAGTTATTAATTGCCAGTTACTAACTGGCAAATGACAGTTACTATCTGGCAATTGCCACTTACCATCTGGCAATGGACAGTTACTAACTGGCAATTGCCACTTACTAACTAGCAATATAGTTAATAAAAATTGTGTGTGACTCTTTAGCGTTTTCGTACTTTTGTATGATCTTTTTGAAATTCAAAAATTGGACAATGACGTTCTGAGTTATTAATTGCCTGTTATTAACTGGCAAATGACTGTTACTATCTAGCAATTGACGGTTATTATAACTGGCAACTGACAATTGCCATTTACTAACTGTTATGTTACTAACTGGCATTTGCCGTTTACTAACTGTCAATTTAGTGTGTGACTCTTCAGCGTTTTAGTATAATCTTTTCAAAATTCGAAAATGGGACAAAGACTTTTTGAGTTATTAATTACCGTTACTAACTGGCAAATGACAGTTACTATCTGGCAATTGACAGTTACTATAATTGGCAATTGACAGTTATTAACTGGAGACTGACAATTACTATCTGGAAATTGCCACTTACCATCTGTCAATTGATAGTTATTAACTAGCAATTGCCACTTAATAACTATCAATTTAGTTCAAAAAAAATGTGTGTGACCCTTCAGCGTATTTTTATACGAACCTTTACGTTATCTTATTGAAAAAAGGAAAAAGCCACACTAACAAAGTTTTTCTTATGAAAGAGCGAAATATTTTGTCTTCTGTTGAGATAAAACTTGACGCAGATATCTCACTGCGAAATCTCTCAACTTGAGCAATAATAATTATTCTTTTTGTTACTTTTAATGGAATAATAATTATCTGTTATCTGTTTGTCTCTTCTCCTAAAAAGTGAACCAAGTTTGTGTCGTTTGAAAGAGTTAATTTTGAGAGATTTTAAGAGCATTATTAAAAATGATTGGAATGACAGTAAAAAGGGAGCAAAACACTTATTGGTCTATAAAATCGTAAACAACGGCATGAATATGCAAATCTGGCTGACTTGGCGTGGAAGAAAAAGAGGGTGGATTTATATCGAGAGTCGGATCATCCCGCTTTGGGGGTATTAGTATAATCTGTTAGTCGCAGAACAACCGCTAACTGAGTAGAGATATGTGCACGTACGACTAAGCATAACATTGCATTGAATATTTAGCTGAATCTTATCTTTTTTATGAGAATGCTTAACTCAAAAAGAGCCGATGGTGATGGCTCTCCGATCTCTTAAAAAGCTTTTGAGAAATCGCTTCGATTATTGCCGACTATTGTGCATGAGCGATGCTTGAACTTTCGCCGAGGTCGAGAGAAAAAGTATTGTTTTGTAAAATGAGGAAACAATTCGGGGAACAATGACAAATCGTAAAACAAATTTAACGTGTGTTGGAGTTGACAAGTTCCAGCGAAGAATAAAAAACATTTGCTTTGATCGCTATATAATGTTACAAGTTCTCCACTTTGCGAATTAAAATCAGTTCTGTTTACGTTGGCAATTTTTTCGAATGGACAACTTGTGAAATCGGTTTTGTTTCGAAACCAATAATGAGGAGTTGACGCGACTTTTGCAACTTTCAAGTTGTTTGCCAATAAGGAGCTCATCAATATTATATGACAACTTAAGAGTTTGGGGACTACGCACGTCAGCAAGGAAAACAGAATTTAGTCTTTGTTTTTATTCACACTTTCTACGAACTTTTCGGTTTATGTTGAAGAACAAGGCTTTTTAATAATGTACTGAAAAAATTATTACTATTACTTCATGCCGTCAAGTTAAGTGACATTTATTTCAGACTTTGTTTTATTCCAATTTCTGTGAGAATATGAAATGTTTCACAGCCGATATCTCACAAAGAATAAACAAAATTTATTTTTTTAGTATATGTATTAAAAAGTGTTTTCTAATTATCTACTGAAAAAATAAAAATTACTGTTTCATTCTGTCATGTTGAAAATGACAATTTTCAAACTTTGTTTTATGTAAATTGTACCAAAGTGTTAACTCTTTTAAAAGCTAAGTTTTCAGTATAACAAATTATGTCCCTCAAATTTGTTGATGTTTGAGTAAAACGTTTTACTAAAAAAATTAACCATATTGCTTTTGAACATTATGTTGAAAAAGAAAGTTTTTGTGAATGTAATATTTCAATTTTTAGATAGAAAAAATACGTTTCTTTAAATTTTATAATATTTAATTTTTAGAACAAAACATTTTTTACTTTTGGTCTAAAAAATTGTTTTCAGTTGTATTTTAATTTCTATAAAAATATTAATTTTTTTGAATAATGATCGAAAAAATAAAGACACCGTCATCGTCAGGTTAAGAGTTTTTGTGAGTGTTTTTTTTTCAATTTTTAAAGTTTGATTTTTAGATAACATACATTTCTTTAATTTTTTTTTATGTTTTGAAAGAGAACAATTTTACAATTGTATTGAAAAAATTAAAAATGTTTAAGATTGAAACCCAGAGTTTTCACATTTTGTTGTATTTTAATTTCTATAAAAATATTATTTTTTTTTAATAATGTATCGAAAAAATGAAGACACCGTCGGGTTAAAAATGATCCTGCTTTCAGACTGTCTTATTTCAAATTTTTTAAGAATATTAAATGTTTACTATCGATTTCTCTAAAAAAATGTGTATTTTCTTTTTCTGACGCGTTAAAAAAAGTTTTCTAATAATGTACTTAAAAATGTAACTGTTCTTATTTTAAGCTCTCGAAAAATGTAAAAATATCTCTAGGCTGATATCTCAGAAAGAAGAAATTTTAAGTATTGCCTGTTTGGTAGGTTGGAAAAAAAATTCTAATAATGTTCTAAAAAAATTAAGACTATTACTTCATCTCGTCATTTTCAAAATAGCAAAGAAGTTAAATTTTTCAAAAATAATAAATTACAATTCTTTAATTTATTGACATATTAAGTGGATACTCCATGGTAATTGCGAAAACCGTAATTAGTTCAGATTATAGAAGTTCTACTGTATCTACAAAGCAAAATTGTAATCCTCACGTCTTTTTACATCAATTTCCATCTGATCTTTACACACAGTTTTCAAGAAAATATAAGTGTTTTGTGCAGCCCGAAAATGACGTTTTAATTTTACAATTTTGAAATTTTGAAAAAAAAATACGATTTTTTGGATGTTAAGTATTTACTTATTTTAGTAGATAAAGAATCAGAATCAATTTTCGTTTCAGGCCCAAAAATTCCCAATTTTTATTTACTCAATTTTTTGACCAAACATAACTGAAAAACAAAAACTATGTTCATGGTAATAAAAATTTATTTATAGATTTAAAATTTTGAAATCATTTTATGTAAATATTCATACCCATTCCATTTCCTCAAACAATCTACTAGAATATTAAAAAATGATCATGCAAGCAAGTTTGACATAAAAAAATATTTTTTTCTAATCTGGGATTTATAAAATTTACGATATACTACAATTACTTTATAGATTTGACAATTTCAGCCAAATTTAAAATGTTTTGTGCAAACTGAAAATGACCAATTTTTAAAACGAAAATTTGACTGTTTCAACTTAGCATAATTAACAGGTAAAAAGTCAGTTTTTGTTTAGAAAGCTACAAAATTTCTAATTTCAACCAAACATAACTAAAAATTGGCTTTAAACATTCCTTATTTTTAATTTTCTCAAAAAATTATCAACAAAAATCGAGATGTGATAAATTACTTTTCACAATTTAAGAGCAAATTTGCTTGACAATAAACTCCAAAAAAACAAAATAAATGTTTTTCAAGTAATATTTTGGTCACTGACTCGCAAAGAAAATATATCAAGTAGTAATTATTTTAAAATTTAAAGTAGAGAATTACTATCCTCGCAGGACAATGTTAATTTTTTTAAGTTTTTATAAAACGCTTTTATAAAACAAAAGTTGTAACATAACTTTCTACCACCAGTTTTCATTTATTTTGAAGTGTGTGATCAGAAATATTGTTGAAAGCATCATCTTTTATGTTAAAAATATTAACGATGCCAGAAGTTTAAGAATTAAAAAAGTAATTTATTACATTAACAAACTTTCCTTGTTGGAGGCAACATTTTTTATGTCAAAATTCCAACTAAAGTCAAGGATTTTGCGACTGTTACTTAAAATGTTTACAATAATTTTTATATCAATGACATAATTAGCATTTTTGTGTTGCTGCTTTAATTTGATTTCTCTGCCATGAAGAGATTATCCTCATATCCTTTGACCCGTTGGTGGAATTAATTTCCCAAATAAACTCAAGCGAAAAACATCATTTTATGGTCTCTTAACCCCTTTAATTGGTTTAAAAAACCGTAAAGTTGACCTCAGCTGACAGTTCCGCCACTCATAATGCCGTTTATCCGACAAATGTATCGTTTACTCCCGAGAGAACTTCATCCCAACTTTCCGAGATATTTGAATCTTAATTCCCAACTTCCAATTGAAGAGGACTACAGCTACAGCTTCGGAGTTGTGCTTTGTTGAAAGATATGGCAAAGTCCTTTTATGAGCCCCTCTCTGATTTAATGGTCCGCGATAAGCGCCCGAATGGCAAACAAGGGGGCGCCACGTGGCAGGTGATATGAAATTGTTCGACCAAAATAAGGACTGACTCAAATCGAAAAATACGAAACCGGTCCCCAATAAAAATCAATGCGCACCAACGGGATTCAACACTCTTCACACGAAGAGTTTGCGCGGTTTATAACAAACAATAAACCGTTCAACTCGACTCAGTTTGTGTTTGGTTTTTGTTATAACATCATTAATGGCCACGTGAGCGTTTTTCCCGAAAATGCAACAAGGGATTTTTATTTTTTGCGTTATTCTTCTGATGGAAGTCCACTCGAACCCTCGCGACTTATATGGTAATCCTTAAAATCGCATCTTGTTTCAGCAAATTTCATCTAAACTATCCGACCTTGTGATTTTGACACTGACATTCTCAACGCTCCGTTAGTTCATTTGTAATTTTTCACGTAAACATTCTTAATGATGATGGTAGAAGGCCTAATTGGGGAAAGAAACATCAAAACAAGACGTATCTCGGATGTCATGGATCTCACAAGAAGATCTTTTTATTGTTTACACGCCGTTAATCACTGAACTTTATGACCTGCGCTACGAACACTGATAATTATTTTTGATAAGTTCAATTACGGGAATTTCACAATTTTTCTACTCGGAATGGGAAAAACGCGTAATGAGCGGCTTCCTGAAAAATACCAATCGTATTTTTTAAGGTTTCGCAGAAATACAGCATGATTCATCAAAATCCATCAAAATATCTTGGTTTACATAACAAATTATTGTGAAGACACAATTTTTTCTATTTATTTTAGGCTAAAATAAAATAGTAACCTGGAATTATTTATTTTTATCATGATGGTAGTTAATAAAAATATCGATTTCTGGTGACAAACAGGATAATACAGTTGCGGACACGAAATTTTGGACATCAATGTAAGCCACGCTTTATTGTCATTATGATTGACGTTTAAAACTAAAACTTGAAAGTTTTAGTTGAAATTTATTTTTGGTGTCGATTTTCTGAAACAATACGTGTTTTTATATAAGTTCAATAAATTATTTTGATTTGTTGTCATTTTTTCTCTAGCTGTTAGGATAAAAATTATAAAACCTGAAAGTGAGGTTAGTTGCATAAGGCCCGATTAACATTTTTTTATGACAGTCGAATGACAAATTGTCCAAAATTTTGTGTCCGCAATTGTATTATAGTTTATGCAAGTCGAATTTTCCCGCTCAAGGTCAAAGAATTTTAAAATTTGGCTATGTAAATCGGCTGGAAGCAAAATTGAGCAGTGTGGAAGTTACTGATTTGGTAACAAAGCTGTCAAATAGCTTATATAATTTTTAATTAAATAAAATAAATAATGCAACATAACTTAAATCTGGTAGACAAAATCCAACTTGAATCCACTTTAGATAGTTTTTTTTTATTTTTGCATTCTATACCAATTATAAAATTTACTATTTTAAAAAGGCAAAAACTTAAATTTACAAAACTACGAAATTGGTTTTCTGATCAAAGTGATTTTTAATTTTGTAATCCAATTGGCAACATTGAGAGAGAGCAGAATGAAAATTGGCACGTTTCATGACTTCTTTTCAATGTTGCCAACTCAATTTTAATATTCAGGCCACTTCGAATAGACATTTTCCTTATTATTTTCGAAAACGTTGTGTTTATTGTGAATTTTTAGTTTTTTTTTTCAGTGATATTTTATATTTTAGTGTTATGTAGTTTTTGATTATTTAAAACACTCTGTATATTGTTTCAGTGTTAAAAAATTAATTACATAGAACACTTTTTTATACACAAAAACTTCAAACAGGGTTTCAAAAAACATTAAAATATCTGAAAATAGATAATTTTTTAAGGCTTAATAAAAAGTAATTATTATTAATTGAGGTGGATTTTTCAATGTTTTATCAAAAGTTGTACATTCTGGAATTAGAATTTATTTTTATCATGAATAAATTTTAGTGACAAAATTCCAATGTTTTTTGAGAAACAGGATATAGTAGTTTTTTTATTTTACTTGTTTTATTAAAATTTTGCAATAAACTACCAAATTCAGTTTTTTGATCAAATTAAATTGGCTACATTGAACATCCTAAAGACGACAGAATGAAAACTGACACGTTTCACATTTTCTATTACATTATTCAATGTTGCCAACTCAATTTTAATATTACAAGTCACTTCGATCAGAAATTTAAGTCAAGTCACAGTATTGCTCCTATTTAAAAAAATATTTAAAGCACTTATGGAGTTTTTTGTGGTATTTGGTATTATTTCTTGTGTCTTCAATTTTGTAAATTATTATTATTATTAAGTACAAAAAGTTTTTTTTTCAGGATTTTTTTAAATTTTAGTGTGACGTGGTTTTTGATTATTTAGAAGTCACTTGGTATATTGCTTCATAGTTACTTACACTATAATCAAAAACTTAAAAAAACAGCATTTCAAAAATTCTAAACATTTTTTTACTGCCTTCAATAAAATTCATTAAAGTGGCTTGTGATTTTGACATCAAATTGGCAATGTCTAAGAGACAATGTCTCATATCTTATTCAGTGGTGCCGACATAATTACAAACTCTCAATTCTTTTCGATTTAAACTTTTTATAAAAAGTAAACAAAGATTTTTTTATTTCAAATGTTTTCTTTTCAAGTAGCTTTACTATAAAATCCGAGTCTCAAGTTTAGGATAAAGAAATAATTAAAAAATAATTAACAAAGTTATTTTTATTTTGATTAAATATTTTGCGAAATTTATTTTTTTAACAGGCTCCAAGCTTCGCAATTCTATTTCTAGGGGTGCCAACCTAATTTTAATGTCACAGGTCTTTTGGATTAGAACTTTTTATAACAAACAAATAAAGATTTTTTATTTTAAGTTTTTTTAAGTATCTTTATTACAAAAATCCGGAAAATAATTAACATATTAACAAAGTTTTTGTTATTTTGACTAAATATTTTTAGCAGGTTCCAAATGCCACACCTCCGACACCCCGGGCCTCTGTGTCGCCATCACAAACTGCCCCTCAGCCCTCGAATCCGTCAAAAAGCAGGGCTCGCACTCCCTGAAACGTTGCGGATTTGAGGGATTCACCGAAATCGTGTGTTGCCCTAACGACTTACGCCATGCAACAACCGAAAATCCCGACGATGCCACCGACGAGGAGAAAAAACCCGAAATACGAGGCCCCGACATTGGCCGAAAAAGCCAAAAAGCGTGCGACAAATACTCGAAAAACGTCCCAATTGCCCTCTCCTACCACATAGTCGGGGGCGAAAACGCCGAAAAGGGGGAATTCCCCCATATGGCAGCGTTGGGGTTCTACATCAAGGAAGACAAAGTGTACAGATTTGATTGTGGGGGCACTTTGATATCAAATTACTACATTGTAACAGCAGCACATTGCATTATTACAGTGCAGCAAAACGAAGTGAAAATTGCAAGATTGGGGGTTATTGAAATTCCGGCGTCGATAGAGCAACCAGATTCGCAACTTGATTATAATGTCGTCAATGTTACGGTTCATAAAGAGTATAAATGGAAGGAGAAATTTAATGATATTGCTTTAGTAAAACTAGAACGGAAAGTCACTTTTACTGAATCCATCAGACCTGCGTGTTTGTACACAAGATCTGACGATCCCGAAAGACTGTTTGTCACAGGTTGGGGCTCGGTTAGTTTAGGAGGCGAGAGAAGCTCTATTCTGCAAAAAGCCATCCTCAACCCTGTCCCAGTGCAAGAATGCAACAGCACGTACGCCAACAGAACCAACAGAAAAATCATTAAAATGCAAATTTGTGCGGCTGATAGTAAAAGTGATGCTTGTCAGGGCGACTCAGGGGGGCCCTTGCAGACTCAAGGAAATAGAAGTCTCTGGACTATAGTTGGCGTAACCTCGTATGGGATTGGGTGTGGTAGCAGATATCCTGGTATTTACACAAGGATTAGCAGTTATGTGGACTGGATTGAGGAGAGAGTGTGGCCATAGAGAAAAATTTTCAACGACTTGTGCCAATTGACACTATTGTGATATTTAATACAGACGACGTGTTCGGGCACCTGTATTTGCCATTTTAACCGTGAAAGTAATATTCTAAACTGTATTTTATTTATTATTCTATGAAAAAATAAAAAAATAAAACTATTTGTTTTTTTATTACAAAATGGAGGGCTTTTTAAACCAGCACAACCGACAACGTGACGTCGCTAAAATCACCATTGTCAATAATTGCCCATTAAATAACACAAGTAAAAAATCTATTTTACTTGAATTGCGTTAAAGTTGGTCACTTGTACGTTTTCCAATAAATTATTTTTAATTTGTTTTAAGAAATACAAAAATATCCTCTTTTTATTTAATAGTTATTTGTGCGTTGTCATGTTTTCCCCCATGTCAGTCTCGCAAAAAATGTTATTGTTGAGATAGTTTAACGTAAATAACGAGTTATTTGTTGAAATACAACAGCAAGAGGGCAGAAACCCAACTTGACACTAGAAACATGTACTCTAATAACATTGTGACTGAAAGCGGTAAATAATTCAGCTTTTGCTCAACCTAACCTCAAAATACATGTTGAAGGTGATACTTTTATCCCTGCGTCGCAAAGACCCGATGGAACTTGGCGCAAAGCTCGCAGAGTTAAGGAAGGTTATGTGCCCCAAGAAGAGGTACCATTGTATGAAAGCAAAGGCAAACAGTTTATGAATAGAAACACAAAACCAGAACCGGTGAAATTATCAAGTGGTGAGACGGCCCAGCGTCCCATACCTGGACTTTTTATAATTGAGGACAAAGAGAAGAAACAGGGGAAAAAGAAGAATAAAAATAGTAAACCTCAATTGAGTGTGCTAATAAAAGTTCAATGTTTTTTTGCAGAAGTGGAAGAAGTGACCAAACAATTGCAACAAGTCACAGTTAGTGAGGTTCCACAAACGGACCCTGCGAAAAAATTGAAGAATTTGAAGAAGAGATTAAGGGAAGTGGAAGCACTAGAGGAAAAACTAAAGAATGGTTTAATACCGAAACCGGAACCTGAGCAATTGACGAAAATACAAAGAAAAAACGACTTGTTGCTACAAATCCGGGAATTGGAAAAGCAAATTGGATAAGACACTTAAGTACAAACAGTTTTTATGAATGTTAAAGGGCGTTTACGAAATAGTTTCTCACTGCCCACAACCACTAACCATTTAATGCCATACCCACCCGTGCAATAGGGGCTTCAAATGGTTGAAAATTTATCCACTGTGATAGATTTCCTTGTGTCTCATTTTAAATAAAAATCATTGTCACTTTCATTTATTTCTACCACAAGTCACATGACGTTTTAAAGCCACAATTGAACGTTTCCTGAAACTCTTCGTTGTGTAAAATGTGTTGAATTCTCTGTAAAACAGGCCCGTGTTCGTCCCCTGTGAAAATATCGCTGTCTCCTGACACTTCACACCAAACCTGAGCGAAGCTGACGAAAAACTGGTGAATTTCCCGCCCCGGATTTCGTTTTTTGAAAGCATTGAGGCTGATTTTCAACCCGTTGGAATCTGCAATTATTTCACCAACAGTGTGGCTGTCATTATAGCACGAAATGCGGTTTTTATAAAGCAGGAAGTCACGATCTGGCAACCATTTTTTCACTTTCCCACTAGGGTCGGCCAGAATACCTGCTGGGTCCAGAGAGTGGGAAATTTCGTGCCCAATGAGCGAACCCAAAGCCCCGAAATTCGAAATTTCGGCCCTTTTGTACCGATAAAACGGCGGCTCCAACATCCCTAAGGGAATAACTACAAAAATAGTGATTTTGTCAGAGTTGTGACTCACAAATCGAATTCTGGAGGACGCTGTAGTAGGCGTTGACGTCGAAGGGGCTCGACGGCCACCTGAAAATTTTTCGTTTGTTTATTTAATAAAAAAAAACTGTGCCCCAAAGAAAAATTTCAAGTAAGATAAGATACCAGGAACAGAAAAAATGTTTAAAAATTCTATCAAAAAATTTTGACATTTATTTTTTGACAAATGACATTTTTTATAATGATACTAATGATCTTGTACATGTTTTTTTCTAATTTGCATCTCTAAGAAAGCTTATTTCGATTCCAAAACCGATGCTTTAATTGAGCCATTTCAACAATTTGGGTGCTGAAATAGACTAGTACAATTTACTTTCTAGAGGTTGTGATGGTGATTTTCAGTGGCGTTTTGAGCGATTTCTTTTATTTCATGAAATATTTGTAGTATTCATTGTTAATTCAACAAAATTTTGAAAAATATTCGAGACTTGACACTTCGAAAATAGGATTTGTCAAACTTTGTGACATTTATTAGCAACCACTTTATTAGGGCAAAAGTTCCTAAATTTTGAAAAACTGAAATAGCACAAAAAAACTTGTTAACTTATGTTAAGAAAGTACGTAAAATGCGGAAAAGAGAAAAAATAGCATAAAAAACTTGTTTCATAAGTCATTTGCCCTACGAAACGCATTCTTTAATATACTATTTCATAATTATTTAGTAAAGGTAAAAAAAATGACAATAAAAGCCACAAATAACATTAAACAGAGTTACAATTTAGGCTACAGCTTCCTTGTTTCCTCTTCTGTAACAAAAAAACTTGGAAAATTATTTTTCCAATAGATATAAATAGTCAAAGTGCAAAATTTAAACACTCATAACTTCAAAATTTGTATAGATTTTTTTACATTTTTTCCATGTTTCTGGTATCTTGCCTTACATGGCATTTTCTGGCGCACCCTGAATTTTGAACGTACAGTATTTGGGGTTTGTGCTGGGCCAATCGGGACAAAACATGCGACGTTTTAAATTGTTTCAACTCGAGCATGTTTATGAAATGATTGTTGGTCATTTTGACCTGAAAAAAAAATTATAGCAGAAATTAAATGATAAAATAAATTACTTTGCCATAATGTCGTTTAAGAGTGTGGAAATTCCAAGAGGGGTACCCCAAATGCAATTCAATGTTTTTAATTTTCTCCACAAGTAGTAATTTTCCCTCCTTGCTCAACCAATCACAGTTTAACAAAATCTGGGCAAATTCGGTTTTGATCGACTCAACCATTGACTTTATATCGGGGAAAATTTTCGGATTGACGTATGTTTTTAAATATCGGGGGAGCAATAAGGGGCTGAAATACGTAATGACCTTGTCAAGACACTCAAATTCCCGAGACAAGTCCTCTTGAACCCCTAGAATCGCCTGATCGATCAAAAAACTTAAATTTCTCAAGTGACGATCAGTGTCTCTGGACACGTCCTTAATAATCGACCACATTAAATAATTTTTGGCAACTCTATGTCCCACTTGATTGATTAAGAGGAACAGTTTTTTCAAATATGTGTAATTCTTGACTATCACAGTCGTATTTGGGGTTATAATTGAGAAGCTCCCGAAAATATAATCGAGAAATTTGATCCAATCGATTGAAAATTTCTGCGATAATTTTTCGACTGTTGTGCGCTCATTTCTCATTTCATTGTTCCGAATAGTCGCCAAAAACGTTTCAAATTTGATGATTTCCCTAATTTGTGTGACATTTATCCGTTTTTTGCCCCCAGACAAGTGATTTGCGGTCTCAAAAATCCACTTTTCGTAGGCTTCCAACTCGACTTTGTACTCCAAACCGGTCAAAATATACTCTGGAAAAATTAAATTCCCCGGTTCCACATAAATGGCATACTTTTTCGGATCTTTATAATCCAAATCGACGTGAATTTTCAAAATTGGGTGAATCCCCAAGACTCTTGTAACCACAGCTAGTTGATGAAACCAGTCATTTTCGTCTCTACTTGTGATTAAACCCCACCCCCCTAAACCATCAATAAAGGTTTTTAATTCCTTCAAGTACTTAGTTTCGTGGTCCGCGGTGTTTAAACAAGACCGGTAAAAAATCTGCGGTTGGATTAAATAAAAATCGTGATGAGTTAAAATCTGCGCTAATCGAGTTCTGATTTTGTGATTAACGGCCATCCAGGGGCTCCACACGGGCTCGAATGGGGGCTTTTTCGCCTCTTTGGTCCAAGTGGCGCAAGAGTAGGCGTAAAAGTTGTCACAGGGGGAAATTAACTCATCTGCAAAAAAATATTTAATAGACAAAAAATACTATGTACCTCAAGTTTAATACCTGACTTGCTTTTCACATGACTGATTAGCACAAGAGTGGCAAAAAACGCCAGACTTTTCGCCAACATTTCACTCAACTAACCAGTTTATTAACCTCAACTTATCAAAGCGGACAAAATGTAGGTGGTGGCAGGAAAATGCTAAATTATCTCAACATTTCTGGATGAAATCGCTTTAATGACATGCAGAAAAATTACATTATGTACTAATCTAGAAAAAATCACTGCCATCTACTCTTCTTCCTTGTGGAAGGCGGGGCTTGTGGAACCGGATCCGAACTTGCTGTAAACTAAACCACAAAATAAACTCGGGTCAAGATTAAAAAAAACCTCACCTGATTCATGTATTGAGCTTTAAAGGCGGCTTTCATCGCCGATAATCTATCAGTGGCGGGCCCCCTTGACTGACTGTGCGTTTCCCCCACAAAATTCCTCGAAGCCCCTCCCACTTTCTCCTTGAAACCCAACCCGACTCCGCCCACATTCGGGTTACCGCCCTTACTCTTGTACCTTTGTTTCCTGTACCACGCACTCTGTAACGCCAAATCTAAAACTTCTTGAGGCACGTCTTGATGCGCCGCTTCTAGATTTTTAACAATATGCCCCACAAACTCCTTATCTTTGGGCGTGATTAGTGTGTAGGCGGTGCCTTGGTTACCGGCACGCCCCGTACGACCAATCCTGTGAGTGTGCGTGTCAATATCACGTGCAATGTCGTAATTAACCACAGTACGGATGTGGGGGATGTCTAAACCGCGAGCTGCCACATCGGTTGCCACCAACAAACTACATTCTTTTTTCTTAAAAGCGGTTATAACCTTGTTGCGTTCGGCTTGTTCGATATCCCCGTGTAGCAACAAACATTCAAATTCTTTGACTTTTAAATCGTTTGCCAACTGTTCAGCGTCAACTTTTTTCGTGACAAACACCAAAACCGAGCCTGCGGATAACAACTCAACCAGATTACTGACCAACCAATCCCTTTTCAACTGTTGATTTTCCATCAACAACACTTTTTGGGTGACATCCTCATTGGCTTGCCCTGTAATCCCTTGGGAAATCCTCACGGGATCATTAAGTGCATCCTTAGCCAACTTCTCAATCCTTTTCCTAAACGTCGCACTAAACAACAACGTTTGCCTATCAGGCCTCACGTGATTACAAACCGACCTAACCTGCGGTTCAAACCCCAACTCAAACATCCTATCAGCCTCATCCAACACCAAAAACGTCACTCTTTGTAAATTGGTCGCGCCCCCTTTCACATGATCTATAATCCTCCCGGGCGTGGCCACAACAATATCCGCCCCTTCTTTCAACGCCAGACTCTGCTCCCATTTCGACCCCCCACCATACGCACAAACCACACTCAAATCATAAACTCGGGCGAATTTCTTCGCCTCGTTGTATATCTGAATGGCCAATTCTCGTGTGGGGGCGAGAATTAACCCAGCTGGGCCTTCGCCCTCCGAAACTGGGGGCTGGGTTGAAACGTGCTTGAGGAGAGGCCACAAAAAGGCGGCGGTTTTCCCGCTTCCTGTCTGCGCAATACCCAGAACATCGCGACCTTGAAGGGCACAAGGGACGGCTTGGGCTTGAATTGGAGTGGGCGAAATGTACTCAGCTTTGATTATAGCTTTAAGGAGCTTATCGTCGAAGTTGAAGTGCGCAAAAGATGAGACGGGTTTAGGGGGTTGTGACCCTGAAACGGTAATATCGAACGTTTTGCGCAACTCGGCGACTTGTTTGTTTGATAAACTCGCAATTTCGGGGTGTTCATTATAGAAGTTTTTCTCGAAGGGTTTGTATTCGATTGTTGAGTGGTCAATGGGGGGTAAAGGATCAATAATTTTTTTCTTATCAGGGGGGATTGGGTTACCATCCTCGTCATATTCAATGTCTAACTCCTCCTCAACTGGGGCCAAACCGGCGTTAGGATTCTCCTCCATGTATCTATAATACGATTCTTCAACGTCCTCCTCCTCCAAATCGTTCCTAACCCCAGTTTGTTGCGACGAACTGCCAGGTTTCTCCGATTGCATCTGAAAACTTGTCATGAACTCGACTAAACTGTTTGTTGTGTTGTGACTGACCTGTTTCTCGATGCCTGCCATGTAGGCATCCAGAGGATCATCGTCCTCGTTTGGCACTTCTTGTTTCTTGGTTTCGACTCGAGTGGGGCTCCCGGGGGCTGGGATGTATGCCAAATCGGGCACAGTCTCCTCCTCGTCGTCCTCGAAATACCTGAAAACACAAACTGACGCTGTCCCTCACTCGTTTACGTCCACTCGTACTCATCCTCGGTGGCGGCACGTTTGCGACTACCCCCCCAAGCAGCCGATAACGCATTCTGACTTATTGCATTCATTGTTGAATAGCCTTGCTTGCTAACGCCACTTAACGGGGGCGGGGGCACGGCATTGTGGCGCTTTTGGTTCATTTGGAAACCCGAGTAGTTGAAGCCACTCATGATTGAGGTTAAAGTAATTTACAAGAAAAAACACAGTTTTTGGTTAGTATTGCGAAAGCATGCTGTTTTATAAACACTTTCACGCACTAGTAATGGTTTTTAGCGACACACAATTCGCGAAAACAACAAAATTGTTTTCACTCACAAAACGTCAAAACTAATTGACAGTCAAAACTACCAATAGTGGCAAAACAAAAATGAAAAGTACTAAAATACGCAACTTTTTTAATTATTTCAAACGTAAATCATCAAATGATTTAATCGAAACATAATTCTTAATCGTGTCGAATTGGAATTGATTAAGAAAACTATTTAAAACTTGATTTTATTAAGTTTTAGTTACCAAATTGACAGTCAGCTGACAACTGTCAATGTCACTTGACAAGTGTAAATAAATAGTAAAATCCTGTTCAAATTTGTGATGAAAGTCGACTCATGCAGTTCGAATTCACGTCGTTCCACCCCCGGATGTACCGCTGCTGTTGCCGGCGACGGGTAAGTCCAACTTGCTAAGAAATTTGCTAAAATGAGTAAAAGTTCCCGTTGCAGCGCGAGAGCAACCCCCTTTTCCGGGCCGTTTTGTCGGATAATTTAGCCGAATTGCAAGCTTTGGTCGAGTCTGGCCACCCCGTCAACATCCAGAATGCAAAAGGCTGCTCGCTGCTTAATTTCGCAATGCGCCGAAAACGGGTGGAAATTTTCGATTATTTGCTAAGTTTAGATGAAATTGACGTTGATTTCCGTGATCGGATGGACCAAAGTCCGCTTTTGTACCTAGCCGGTGTTTGTTTCGATGAATACTTTGCCTTGGAATTAATAAGAAAGGGGGCTGATATCCATTCAGTTGATGACTCGGGGTTTAGTTTTTTGCACCTAGCTGCGAGGGCCTATTGCGATGATAATTTACGAGTGGGTCAGTTGATTATCGAGCAGGGGGCTGATGTCGACCGTCAGGGACACTACGGGGTGACTCCGCTGTACACTGCATGTGAAGAAGGCAACTTTGATTGGGCTTGTATGTTGCTGTTTTATGGGGCGGACCCCATGATCCCCACTCATAGAGGAATACTGCCCGTGGCTGTAGTCTCGTCAAATACAAGCGAAGACCAACAAGTCTTATTGCAAGAAATTATTTTTAATTACACTTTTGACGACGATGGAGTTACTCTAAGTCTTCCAACTTTGACGGCTGCTATGACTTTAAACTCGGATCTTTTTGTAAAAATTCTTGATAAAGTTTCAAACATTGATTATAATGTATCTGACTTGCAACATTTGGTCACATCGTTGATTCACGTGAAAGCGGAACATTTGAAATTGTTTATGCGCAATTTTGGGTTCATTATCAAAGACATGATTGAGAATTTTCCCCCATTGGAGGTCTTGATTAAGATTTCTCTCGACTGTGAAATGTCGGGATTGAGGGAAATAATTGAGGTGTTTTTGGATAGTGTCTACTGTGCTAAATTTGTCCAGTCTTGTGACCCCAACTTGCCTACAATTTCCCGATTTATTCAGGAATTTACTAGTGAAGAAGAAGAAAAATTCACTGAAATGGTGTGTCTAATGCTGAGTTACGGTCTCGGGGTCACTTCCACCGACTTGGATGCGGTGTACAATCAATTCGGTTATTGCGAACTCTTTAAATTGTTACTCCACATGGACATTACGATAGTAAATAATAATAATGACATGCGCTCAATTGCTATGTTATACTACAATCCAGATATTTCGCTTGATAATCTTCTAAACGACTTTTATATAAACCCGTATTTGTTACATTTTTACAATCATCGCAAACTGAAAGAAATTTGTTTGAGTGTGGGAGAAGGTTGCGAAAAGCTGCCAGAGTTACCACAAGTACCTTATCTGTTAGAATTGAGTAGAAATGCAGCGCGGAAGTATATAGTAAATAAATTTAATATAAAAAAGTCTGCACAGTTTTACACGGTGTTGCGGTGGCTTCCTATTGGTGAAATGAACAAAAAAATTATTGCTCTAGAGAAGAAAATTTATGAGTAGGAATGTTTTGTTACGAAATGTGCCTTCAAAAATGTGATTACAAAATGTCTAGCTGATCTCTTGTTTTTAAAGACTAAATAATTGTTTTAATTATGCAACAGCATTGTTTTATTTACAAGTCGTATTTTATTGTTTATTATGTTTAAGGTATAAATATTTCGCTTTATTGTAGCTTTAAATTGTAATATTTTCCAATAAATAAATCTTTACTTGAAATAAAAATTCATTGTTTATTTGGCACTTAGTCGACTTGGCGCGAGAGTGATTAAAACATTTTTCTCACGTTTTTTTTTGTTGTTTATTTTTTTAAAACAGGGAGAATAGAAACATCTATTTATTTTCTCTTTAATTTTGTTTAAAGTTTAATTAGAAATAGGCTTTAGCAGTTGGTCGACTTGTGGTGAGGAGTAGTTGGCAGCGTCACACCTTTGAATTTTTGACATTTGACAGATACCGTTTCAGTTGACATCGTCGTGTAATTATCATTTAATTTGTTTAAATTTCCAAAAACATCACAAATTGGCGACCGAAAAATGCCAACCCAACTAGGCAACGACAATAGCCAAGAAATCCGGGCAAAAATCGCCTACAATGGCGAAGTTTTGATCACTTACATTGACCAAAGTATCACCTTTGAGGAATTACTCCACGAAATCGTTGTAATTTGTCGATTTGCACCTAATCAGTTGTTCACGATGAAGTGGGTGGACGAGGAGGGCGACCCGTGTATCATCTCAACTCAAATGGAACTCGATGAAGCCCTGCGACTTTACGAAGTCAACAGAGACAACGAAGTCACCATACATGGTAAGTGGAGGATTTAGCCATTATTTTCGGAATTGGCCGAATCGAAATTCTTAGGGCCTGTTTCCCGTTAATTTTAGCGCGTTTTGAGAAGTTTTGGTGGGTTAAGGGGGACTCCAAACAGTGTGATTACTCACCCAGTGTGCCATGAGTAATGCTATCCATGAGTTGTTATCGGTCATGCGTTAAAATCTGTGCTACAATAATGGGAAAAGTTTTATTTATTAGAAGAAAAACTGCTTAAATTACTCTAAACTAGACCTAACAGTCGATATTCTTTATGGCTTGATAGTTGAAAGTGTTGAAATTTCAAACAAAGTTTCTTGGGTTTTCATGTCATTTATGTTTTTGCAATTGTTTTCAGAAAAGCAAAGTTAATAACAAAATGAACACAAATCTGCTCAAAAACGTTCTTAAATGCTCGAAAAATGCAAAAATAGGTAACGCTATTTCATTTAGTCTAATTCTATAATTTTTTGGCTAGTTTTAAATTAAATTTTGCGAAATATCGGGTGACAGAAAATCTATTGACACACTGAATTATTCGTAATCCTTGTAAATTTATTGTACCGTGCAATCAAAAAAATTAAAATAAATTAGAGTAGGCGATCATTAAAGTCCTTCAGATGGCAATCCTGATTTTTGACATCAAATGTCAGCGGAAAATTTGACAAGTTTGCGTTTTATTCATTTTGTGTGAAATAATGTTCACTTTAAAGCAGAAATTTTTTATTGTAGCAAGTTATTACAAAAATGCTGTACAAGACCAAAACGGTGAATGGTCATTTTCAGTTGGTGTGGAAAATTCTCAGCCAACGAGTTGCCAACTGTAGAATATTAATCATCGCTTACTCTAATTTTTTTTTTGATCGCACGGTATATAAAAGTCTGATTTGAAAATCAAGGGTGCAAAACTAAAATTTTAAATGTGACACCAACTTTATGACAATTACAATCATTTACAGTCACCCGATATTTACGTTTTTACTTGAAAAACATACTAAAACTCTTGATAAAGGCAAAAATAATGACTTATTGTGATGTTTTTTTTTTGGTTTGTTTTATCAAAATCTTGTAATTAACACTATATTCGACCATATTTCGTATTTTTTGTCCCATTTTTTTGACAAAATTTTACTCAAAAAGAGCTAAATCGAATGAAACAAATGAAATAACATCAATTTAGATATATTTTTGTTGTGTTTAAGCATGTTTTGACAATATCTTGCAAAGTAAATGAGCCTCTGGTTCAAAACAAACTAAATCGAGCGAGATACACTAAAGTGATATCAATTTGAATTTAATTTGGTAATTTTTCAGTCAGTTTTAGCAAAAATTTGAATGTATTTAAAAACGTGCTGAAACACTCTAAAAATGCAAAAATAACAATAGTTTTGGCCTAATTTGATAACTTTTTGGTTTGTTTTTAACGAAATTTTGCAAAATAGTTCTGTTTCTGGCTAAAAACATACTAAAATGCTCAGAAATGGACAAAATAATGTACTTTTTCAACGATTTTAGCGATTTTTTTACCTTGTTGAGTGAAATATCATTTAGAAAAACAAAACTATCTCTCGAATTTTCAATTTGTTTTCGAGAAAATTTAGCATTTGAGTTTCAAATGCAAAATGCTCAAAAGAATACATTTCTGACTGAATTTACTACATATATCGATAATTAAAAAATCAAATTAAAAAAGTTATGTTTAGTAATGCTCGATTAGAAAAATTATTTGAAAATACATTAATTTTCTGCTGTAACTACAGTCACGTTTCTAAAAAATCATCAGAAATTTTCACCAAATCATTAAACTAGTATAAAAATCACCAGATTTGGTGAAATTTCACCAGTCTGGGCAACACTGTCCCCAACTGCCCGAAATGCTCGGGCCCTTGTCGGTATCGATTCAAAGGCGCCACCGTAGTGTCCCGGCCTGACGTCTGCGTCATTGCCAAATCGCCGCCGTCTCGTCGTCCCTTCATCCATCGCGGCGTCGCGACGTCCAACGTACCGGCAACGCTGCCACACACGTCCCCCGTCGTTAGTTTTCACTACCTTTCCGCTAATTTCTTTCGAAAAACCAACGATCAACTCAGGTGGCGTCGCGACGTACATTTTCCCCCTTAATTTAACCCCATAGTAGGTGAGTTTGAGGGGGTGAGGGAGATTTGTTTTTTAGGCGGGTCGTACATGATTTAATAAATCTAATAAGCGTCATGGCTTGGGGTTATTGGAGCGCCACAACGGTGTCGGACCGCGGCCGCAGCCCCCGAAGGAACCAAAATGGTAGTGTCAACAACCACCACCAACAAACAATGCCCGTCACAATCGAAGATCGTCCCTCAGTGTCACAAACCTATGCTGGGGCTCCTGTCAATTCTAATAATAATACGACAACGACATCGTCTAGTGGCCAGATTCAGGGCGAGTTTGAGGAAGTGGGGGCTTTCTCGAGACGGCCCTCGTTGGATTTATCGTTGGTTGGGCCCCAAGGGGCCCTAGCGGGGATTTTGTGTGCTGCACATAGTAGTAAACAGGGAGGGACGTTGTCAGCGGGCAATACATTGACTAGAGTTGGGAGTAAACATACGGCAGTGGAGTATGCAGTACCACATCATCTCTACCATCACCATCCGACTTATATAGAGTACCATCACAAGCAATTGTCGTTTTCGGATGATGATAGCAGCTCGGAGCCGGGATATGCCACAGGTTTGTCGATGTGGCATGAGAAATATTCTTGGTTTTGATTTTTTTTTGCACTCTTCTCAAATCAGGTCAAACACGGGTGGGATTTTAGTACATTTATTATCCTGTCGTAAATTTAAACATAAAATATCTCATGGTGGAGGAATAAAATCGTCTAAATTGATTTTGCGAAATAAAAAAATTATTCGTTTAGTGTCGTTGCGCCCATTGACTTTTTATTATTACCACTACGTAAAACTTCATTTTAATGAAATAGGTGAGCTTTTTTCAGTGCATTATTGTCTCCCAGCTTTCAATATAATAATGCATTGTTATTCTTTGGCATGTAAAGCTATTGTTGGGTGTTAATGAAAAAAATACAAAATCGAAATAAATTCAACTCAAGTTAAAGTTTGTAGAATAAATATTTTTCGTAATGGAAGATCTCTTATTTATTTAACTAATTTAGTTATTTTGGTGTTCAATGTTAATTGCACTAATGCAGCACAAGTATTTTAATGTATTATCATCTGATTTTATTTCATTGGTATTAACTTTTTTTTAAATAATGTTTTACAAAAAAATTGCGTGAAATTACGTTTTAAGAGTCAGTTTTTGAGATATCGACTTATTTCTAGGTCAAGTAGACCAATTTTTTGGCAAACCATTGCTCAAATCTAGTACCAAAGAATTATCATAGTAATAATGGCAAGAATATCTTCATTTTTGATTAATTAAGTTTTAACTTGGAAAATGAGTGTTTTCAGCTTTGAACTTGAAATTTACTCTTGAAAATTGCACTAAACTATAATTCTTAATTTTTAATTTCTTAAGTTTTAACTTGGAAAATAACGTCTTCAAAGGATTAGCTTAAGACAAAATGTTTTCAGACAATTAGAATTACGAATCTGACCCAGATTTTTATTATAATGAATAGTTTTTGAGATTTAGTGTTTTTTGTTTGGTCAAAAAACTGAGCAAATAAAAAGTAGGAATTTGTTTTTTAATTAAGCTAAAATCCGAAAATGGACAGTCAAGTTTGGTTGGCAAAACTAAAAATTAAAAAAATACGTATTTTTTTTTAAGTTAAACTCAGTTTATATAAAACATTTCCAATTTTCTTGAAAACTATTTACACGTGAATAAATTACTAATTTTCCATGAATGGCTTTTTGAGATATCAGTCAATTTCTAGGCTAGGCTGGCCAAAAACAGCTAGAAATTTAAAAAATAATTAAAAATAAATTAAATAAAATTAATAAAGTGTGAAATTGTTAAATTATATTCAAATAAAAGACTATAAAGGCTTAAATTTTGATTTCCTGAATCCTAAATTTTGAAAAAACTACTTTTTGAGTCATAGTACCTAAGTTTTGCACAAAATATTTTTAATTTTTGCGAAAATTATTGAGAAATTAAACTTAAAATGTCCTCAGATTCACGAATTTGTAAAGATTTTAATTACAATAATTAGTTGTTGGCAATTTTCGAACTATTTGAAAAGGAAATAAGGTTGCTGTTATTTGGCAAAATAAATTCAAATCGAGGCTTCGAAGTTTGTGTTTGGAAAAAAAAACTCAAATTTACTTTGTGACATAAGCTACACCAAACTGGATCAATTTTTTTTTTTAATTTTTAAAAAGGAGTATTTATTTTAGCAACATACAAAGTAAACAAAAAGTTCGGATATAAACTCTTTTTTAATCATTTGCTTTCAGAAACTAACAATTAATAAAAATTAAAGTAATATAAAAAATGTGATTGTATTCTGTGAATGAAAATCGCTTTGTTTTTGAGTTATGACGTTTTTTTTTTTTTTCAAATGACATCTTATATGAATTTTTTTTTTATAAAAATTAAGTAAAATGTAGGTAGATGTAATCCTTCGATTACAGTCTTTCTAAAAAAAGGTTTTATAGTAACTAGCCATTTAAAAAAATTAAAAATTTGCAGAACTCAAAAACAAACAAAAAAATTGATTTTTTTATTATTAATAAACGTCACATTTTCATAGTAGATACGCTAGCGTTCATCAGTTAGTTTTTTCAATAAATAAATAGTTTAAGCAAAAAACGTTTCATACTTTTTGTTCACCTTATACAGAGTGTCCCATGTAAAACTTCGGTCTAATATTGTTATTTGATAACAGATTTTTATGAAATTTCGGCCGCTTTTAACACAATTTTATTCTTTTTTTTTTTGTAAGCGGGACCTCTTTCAAGGACAGATTTTTGCTTATAGCATTTTTTTATTGGCGATTAATAATTTGATATAAATGTTAAGTAAGGCATATTAAGCTCACATTTTAAGGGCTGGGGTTGTTTAGTAATGCTAAATACTAAATAATCTAAATACTAAACTAAATCTACGTTTTAAATTTCGTTAGAATCCAAATAATAGTGATATTAGATCCGAAAGTCTTAGCAAGTGGGACACTCTGTATATTTTTTGATTATGTAACAATTATATGCTATCAAAAGTGTGTAAAACACGAGGATTTTGCTTCAAAAATTGTAAAATAAAATACTCATTTTTTTTGTAAGTTTTAAAAATACTATGAAAAGAAGAGGTATAAACTTATTTTTTAAAGCATAATGTGATATCTTTCACAAGCTGTGACGTGGTCTGCTCGTAATGAAACCACTTCGGTCGTAAAATAACCTCCTGTGAGACATATTTGAACATATCATTTCAAAGTGAGGATAAACGACTTCTTAAGGGTTTCTTGTTGTATTACATTTAGCTCGATTACCACTACCAGTGTTTTTATGATTTTTTTAAATTGTGTAGCTTTTTTAGTGCATGATTTGTCTATTACTACTGCTTTAAATTTTCAGAGATGCAATTTTTTTATGCCAATCTTTTCGCTTTATTTGATTTAATTTGAGATTAGGCGTCACCACGACGCCGATTAAGGTTCGCAATTAGGCAGTAAAACTCTCCCCCTCATCCGTAATTTCCGTTTTTTGAGCGTCGTCGTCCTCCTGATTATCCGCAATTATGGATTTTCTAATCAAGAAACAAAAGCTCCTTTCCGGGCTTCCGGACAAGCACCTGTCTGCTGATTTCCGGTCGCTCGAATCCGGGAAAAACCGCCACAAGTTATCGTCCGTTTGACCTCAATCTTGAGACAATCGATACGCCCATATGGCAAATTTTTTTTATTTGTTTTTTTTTTCTTTCTCCGATAACGATAATTACAAATTCCATTCAGTACTCGCTCCCACCAAAATTCAAACAACGTTATCGCATTTGTCCGAGATAATCGTTTATCTTGCTTCACCTGAAATAGTAACGTGCGTGTTGTGACGATGGGTCGAGTTAGGTGATTCCAACCCATGGAATATCGAAATGGGTGACGGAAAACCATGGTGGAGCAATTTTAAAATATGGAAAGGGATGTCCGAAGCCGCGATTCTCTATTCGCTACATCCGACGTTGGGTTATGACGCCTCCTCGGTATTGGTGGCCGCGTTTCCTGGAGGTTCGTTGGAAAACCCGACTTTATTTTTATTTTTATTTTTTAGAAGAGGGTGAAGAGGACGACCTTTAAAACGTGGCGTATTTTATTAAAAAGATTTTAGTTTTTTTGTTTTACTACCTGACATTTTACATCTGATTATTTTTATCTTATCTGTTGGCCAATTCGATTTTGCTCCAATTATTTGGCAATCATGGAAGAGACAATTTATTTATTTGATTCTATTCTGTCCACAGTTTTTCCGAATGTGCCGCCACAACCCGGAATGCCCTGTCAGGGGGAGGACAGTAAGTATTTATTATTATGGGGGCGGGTATCACAAGTGTGCCAACACCAAAAAAAATGACAAGTTGGCAACGCCTTAGTGATATTTTAATTACCAGAAATGTTTTCATATTAATGTGCATCGAAGTAGTCGTTGAAAGGGATCATTTTAAGGTGGCAACCATGCAAAATTCAAACAATCCTAACCTCAACCGTCCCTAAAAATTATTTTTACAATTGCAAAAAATAATTAAAATTAACAAAACGTAATTGTTGTCATTATTGATGTGATTGACATTATTGACACTTTTTGTGTGATCAGCCTTCAAATAAAAAATGCATTTAGACTTCCACAACCTACTTGATGCACATTAATATGAAAAAGATTAATTTTGTAAAGGCGCGACATTTAAATATTATCTCGGTGATAATTTTTTCTAGTGTTGTTTTTCTCGATTTTAAAATGGCGTTTTCGAAATAACAATGCTGCGAGTCTTGCAATTTATTCTACTATGTAAACGGCACCATAAAGCTAAATTTGGTAGCAAAAAAATTGATTAGTGTAACTCTGATACGATTAATTTTTTTCAGGGAGTATTTACAGGAGAGGTGCTCGTCGCTGGAGGAAACTTTATCGTGTCAATGGACACATTTTCCAAGCCAAACGTTTCAATCGAGTAAGTTGAAAATTTAATCAAAACATGAGATACTAATTAGTGTTGTTTAGAGAGCCTTTTGTGCATTTTGCAATGACAGAATTTGGGGTTTGGGTCGACAAGGTTTCAAGTGTATTCAATGCAAACTCCTTGTCCACAAAAAATGCCACAAACTAGTACAAATTCCCTGTACAGTCGACTTAGTTGAACCCTCGATCAGAGAAGAACACAATGGTGAATCGCCTTTAGTAACACAAACCTCCAATAGTGAAATTATATCGGAAATTCGCGACAGGGAATACCCTGAACCGCCCCCAGATGTAACAGGTAAAGCAGACATAACCTCACTTTTTACCCAATTCTACCACAATTAGACTCAAGACGGTACTTAACCTAGAAACTGTCCGAAATTGTGGCCAAAAGTCGAAATTTCCTCTTATTTTTTAATGTTTTTTTTAAACATAACCTCACTTTTGTCAATTTTATGGATTTAGGTGAGTCGGTGGCGGTGGAGGACCCCAACCGGCAGTCGGATGACCTGGAGGTGGGTTCACAGCGTCAATACTCTTTGAACGACTTCGAATTGATTCGTGTGATTGGTCGAGGTTCGTACGCCAAAGTTTTGATGGTCGAATTGAAGAAAACCAAACGCATTTACGCAATGAAAGTGATTAAGAAGGCTCTAGTGACCGACGATGAAGATATTGATTGGGTGCAAACTGAAAAACACGTGTTCGAAACGGCCTCAAATCATCCGTTTTTAGTCGGATTGCATTCCTGTTTCCAAACACCGTCTCGGTTGTTTTTCGTTATTGAATTTGTCCGTGGGGGCGATTTGATGTTTCATATGCAAAGACAGAGACGTTTACCCGAGGAGCATGCTCGGTTTTATGCCGCCGAGATATCATTAGCGTTGAATTTTTTGCATTGTAAAGGGATTATTTATCGCGATTTGAAATTAGATAATGTGTTGTTGGATCATGAAGGACACATTAAATTGACTGATTATGGAATGTGTAAAGAGGGGATTAGGCCTGGTGATACCACTTCGACATTTTGTGGAACACCGAATTATATAGCCCCTGAGATTTTAAGAGGGGAGGATTATGGATTCTCAGTCGATTGGTGGGCTTTAGGGGTGTTATTGTATGAAATGTTGGCGGGAAGATCACCGTTTGATATTGCGGGAGCGTCAGAAAATCCCGATCAAAATACAGAAGATTACCTGTTTCAAGTTATTTTGGAAAAAACCATTCGTATTCCGAGATCATTGAGTGTCAAAGCGGCCAATGTACTTAAAGGCTTCCTCAATAAAAATCCAGCAGATAGATTGGGGTGCACCAGTCATGACTCCTTTGTTGAAATCACCGGTCATCCGTTTTTCAAGAGCATCGATTGGGACATGGTAAATTTTTTATTTATTTGAAAGATCAAACTAATTGTTTTTTTTATTACAGCTGGAACAAAAACAGATCACTCCCCCATACCGCCCCCGACTCGATTCCGACCGCGACTTGGCCAATTTCCCTCCAGAATTCACCGACGAGCCCGTACATCTCACCCCCGACGATGCGTAAGCATTGATTACGTCAATAATCGACCAATAAAATGTCTGTTTTTAGGCATGTGATCGAGAAGATCGACCAATCCGAGTTCGAGGGTTTTGAATATGTGAATCCTCTGTTGATGTCATTGGAGGATTGCGTGTGACATAACGTCAGTTGTGCTTTACATCCTAATAATTTACCTCCTCCTCCACTCCCCCGTCATCCTCCGCCTATGTTTCCGCCGCCACCGCCCCCTCCCGATATCGACGATTTCGATGATGCTAGGTTTTTGCAAGTCGACATGAGGCCAAGTAAGTCGATCTTGCAAAATATTTTCTGCCTTCCTCTCAATTGAAAATTGCACTTTTGCTATTATCATTCGTTGGTTCTTCCATTAATGAGAGTTTCTGTTAACTAGCACAGAACGCAGTAGGTGTTGACGCCTATAAATAAATCAATATTGTTGCAAATATTAAAACAATACTAGAAAAATTGCCAACGAAGCTTTATAATAATAACCATAGGGAAATTTTCTGCACTCTGACTTGATAGTTGTAAATACATTAAAAAAATTGATGGGAGAATAGGTACGTTGGAATTGATTGTTTTTGTTCGATTTATTATTGTTAATGTTTCGAAAGTTTTTTTAATGTTTTTATCTTCTGATGTTCTTGATTCCGTTGACTCTTGCACATTCCTCTATCGTATTATTGAATTTAGTATTAAAGAATTGAAACAAATCATTGACTGATGTCGTCACAGCAAAACATTCGTGATTGTTACTAGAATTTTGTATAATATATACAGATTGAGAATGACTATATAAACATTTAGAGTAGCTACAAAGAATATATCTCGCTTTACAATTTATTATAGTCATTGGTATTCCTTCCATTCGTTATTTTTAAGGAGACAGTGTTAAGTATTAATTTATATCAGATTTGAGTATTATTTTCTACATTCCGCAATACTTCGGGAACTATACAAACAATTATATGTTAGCCTTATGTTCTCTAGGTTCCGTATCAATATTTGTATGATTTAATAAAGAACTAAACAAGAAAAATACTTGTTATAAATGAAAAACCTTTTATTTATCACAATTATGACTAGATCGGGACAAAAACCCAAAATTAATCCACTTTGGTTTTCAAACTTCTCATATATTCCTGAACCGGAGCCGATTTGAAAATCAAAACCGACAATACGGACCCTATGGTGGCCCCAATCCAGTACACAACCAAATGCTCGACGAAAGTATTCCCCTCACAGCCGAGTTTTAACGAAGTCGCCAGGGCCGGGTTGTAATAACCCCCCGAGAAATTAAAAGCTGAAAAAATCAAAGAAAAATTCTAATAATTTTCAAAAAATGTCAGTCTTCAATCAAGTGATTGAATACTATTTCGATTTTAGCCGTTTAGTGCTCTTGTCCAGCTGAGAGAAATCGCTGGATAAGTCTCAATCGGCTTATTTTAGTTTAAATAATTTCGTTTTTTCACTACCATTGTTAAAAATACAATTATTTAGTTTGTCGAGGGGTTGTGAAGTTCACCTAGTGGACAATAATCATTGTCATTATTGACCAAGGGCAATAATGTATTAGAGATGGGTAAATACCAATGTTGGATAATACAAATATGTATAGAATATTATTATTTAAAACTATTGTCATACCAACTACTAACGGAAGTATGGGGAGATGAAATTAATGCAAAATGAAATAAAAACGCCCATCTCTAATTCTTCTTTTTTTGTCAAAACAACAAATAGACTTATTTCGTGTTGAAATACTAAATACTCTCAACTTAAATTAATATCTCAGGTAAGTACTGTACTGTACTGTAAGTATGAAATTAACATAAATAATACAGTAGAACCTCGATAACTCGAACCTCTACATACATATAATTTTGATAAGTCGAAGTGATTGGCTGGTCCCAAGCATTTACTAATAGAAATCAATGTAATTTTATCTCTAATACATTGCGGACCCCTCAAGTATAATAATCCTCTATAAGTCGAATTTTTTTGAAATTCCCGCAATTTTACTATGCATATTAGATTAATTTCTGCACTATGCACGTGTTTTCCGTTTCTTTACACAAAATTCAAAGTCTGTGATTGATAACTTTTTCGAAAAAAAAAGGAAAAATACATTAGACATTTTTCAACAAGTTTTTTTTTTCAGTCACCTCGAAAGCAAATTAATAAAATATACATATAAAAAAGATAAAAAATCTCGATTTAAATTTAATTTTTATTTTTTTGGGGTTCAGCCCTGCTCAGGTCCTGCTTGAAAAATCGAGCGTGCCTTGGAAATTTAAAAAATCACTATTTTTTCTTTTATGAATCAAATATGACAAAAAGTAATTAATAAAAATTTAGAAGCAACATGTAGGCCCTACACCAAATTTCAAAAACAACATTTTTTTTCCAAGATAGTTATAACTCTTTGTGGTAAGGCAGTTTACAGTAAAATAATAAGTTTTTGAATATTTCCGAAGCTTACTTGATATTTCAAAGCCAAAATTTTGTTAGAAGTTAATCTTTAACCAAGCAGGGCTAAACTTCAGAAAACGAAAATTTAAATCGAGAATTGTTTCACCTATCCAGGGACACACTATATAGGGTGAATATAAAGCGTTTTTTTTTTTTAATTATTTGCTTCCAAAAAATAATAATATAAATTAAAATAAAATAAAAAATGTGATCGTATTTTGAGAACGAAATTTTGTTTCGTTTTTGATTTATGCAATTTTTTGTCAAAATTAAAATCTATATAAATAAAAAAATGTAGAACTCAAAAACAAAAGAAAATTTTGAAAAAAATTATTCTTGATAAAACATCACATTTTTGCCCTATTTCATCAATTAGTTTGGTTCCATATTTTTTATTCACATAGATACGCAATTTTAAATTTTTATTTTACTTTATTTTTATATTTATGTATTTTGTGCCTTAAGAAGTTCATTGTGTAAATTTAAAATAAAACCATGTATGAAAAAGTAATATTCTCGATAACTTGAATACTTTTTTTGGGACTTAACGACTTAACAAGGTTCCACTGTAGTTGTAAATTACGACATGTCTGAGGCAACATGTCCATTAATATTAATAATTTTAGGGTAATAAATGTACTAGTAGTGAAAAAAATTGTATAAAACACGGAGGAGAAGATTTTTGTAACCTCGCATTTATTATTTAAATAGCTCGGCTATCTCTACTTGTGATGCAATATACTATTTACTCACCGGCGACCACCATCATGGTGGCGAAAAACGCATCCAACACGTTGGCAAATTTGACTTGAGTATCGCTGAGAACTCTGGATGCCAGTCGGCAAAGACAAGTCCCCCCAGCTTCAATGACAGCCCCCACGAGCATATGCACTTGCAAATCGGCCATACAATCCTCAAATGCTTTACTCCGATGCGTTTCAACTAATTCCATCGCCCATAAAATTTGTACATAACGAAATGTGACTAAAGCACCCAAAATCTGCGAGAAAATGAGCAAAGCAGCATTGCTGACGTCTTGAGAACCTTCGAGGATTTCCTCGATGGGGCTGTAGGGACATGCTGTTGCAGTGTCCCAACTTGAACTCCACCATATTGTTAGAATGAAGAGATAAAGGGCGTAGGCCCAAATCCCCCAATTGTCCGCAACTGATAAAATCAATTAATTTTTGTTCAATTTGAAATTAATAATGTTGTTGAATTTCTTAATCGTGCAGCGATTATTGGCACTGGACAATCCTTACATTCAACGGTAATGTCGGCCTAGATACTCAGGACCGGAATCAGGGAATGATTCGGGCCCAGTCTGGTAGGCCTCTTTTTACTCACTTACCGATAATTAATTCGAAACAAGCGGCACACAATTCCAAAGTTGCGATAAATTCCAATATCATGCGTTTGAAAAGACTGTCGTTTAGCAATAAGTTGAGCACTTTTCGGGCTAAAGCCGCCAAAAACAGAGCTAAGATTATGTAAGTTGTGGAAATGACTAGAGGATGAATTCCGAATATATTCCGACGCTTACTGGAAGAGATAAGTGTTATCACGAAAATAACCGAATTATTTGAGCGCTCATTTTTCAAATCTCACCTATAACCCACCAGTCCCATGCGTTTAAAAAATCGGGACACTCTTCGGGCTAGACTGGCCGCCATTGTTTTAATTTTTTCACAATAAAAAATTTTAAAAATTATTCAGTAATTTATTCACTTGGACATTGTTAAAGGCCGCGCGACTATCTAATAATCAAAAGCTAGTGGCGTTATAATTAGTATTTTCTAGGCTTGTGGTCTAATTTTAAAACATACGCACACAGATGCCACCAAAAATCGTGAAAGAAAAATTGTCACTAGCACGTGTGCTGTCTGTATGGGAGGGAAATACAGCAAGACCTTGATTATTCAAATTACTATTTGTTGCGTCAATTGCAATTAGTTTATTGTACTCGATATAATACAGGGTGGACTTTTTTAATTTCCAAAAGTAACAGATATGATAGTTAATTTGATATTTGTCAAGACAAGAGAAACTAAAAATAAAAAAAATTGTATCCATAATAATTATGAAAGCGAAATTTTCTGTTTGAAAGAAACTGATTTTTTTTGTTGAACATTTTTTTTATAACCGCCAATGAAAAAAAAACGGTTTAAATACGTGCTTTATTATAAATTTGTGTACTTAATTAAAGTATTTTTTAAATTTTCTCTTAAAAAATTGCAACAGCATGTTTTCGTCTATTTTGGTAGGTACTTTTTTCGTCGCGAATAAAACGAAAGTTTAAAAAAAACTACCCTTTTAGTAATGTTATTTTTTGCTAGTTTTATCTTCTTCCTTTGTCAGATTATGAATTACGAAGTGGAAATTCTCCGGTTTCAAGAAACTAGTTTGTTGAATTTTCTTACAGTTACTTAAAATTTTCGTTTTTTTTTATAATTGTCGAATGAAAAAAAAAATGTAAATACGTATTTTGGTATAAAGTTGTGTATTTTTTAAATCTTCTCAAAATGAAAAATTGGAGCTGAACAAAATTCATGTCTGTCATCGATTTATTTTATTTTTCTATTAAAATTAATGGAGATGTTTTGAAACATTTATGAAATGTTTTATTATATTACTTAAAAAAGTGTATTTTTGATGAAAATTGACAAAAAAATGTCAGCAATATTGATGGACTCCAACATTCGCAAAATTTGTTATCATTCACTTGGCACTTTTTACAAAATCTAAATTTTGTTACAAATACTAAAAAAAATCATTATTTACAAATGAAAATACAAAGATTTAAAAACGTCTTTTACTATAAATTTGTGTTAAAGTATATTTTTTCAATTTTCTTAAAAAAACAACAGCAAAATTTACGTTTTTATCTATTTAGGTACTTAATTTTTTTTTCCTAGAATTAAAAATTAAAATGAGAAATTTATTATCTTCTTATATTAACAAATTGTATTTTTACATGAAAATCGGCAAAAAAATAACAAAATTTGATTCATAAAAAATTAAGAAATTCGCAAAAACTACCTGTCAATTTTTGAAGAAAATCTCATTTCTAAGTTTCAAAACTGAGTCTGATTTTTAGATTTTAAAAAAAGATTTTTTTTAGTTTTCAAACCTCAACTTTGTAATTTGTTAGTATATTGTTGGTAAATACGAGGGAAATTGAAGTAAAACTACCAATTTACTTATTTTTGTCGGTTTTATTTATTTTTTCTTTGTTATACATTCAAATTAATTAATTATATAAATTCGAAATTCTCTGTTTTTAAGAAACTTGTTTGTTGTCGTTTTCTATGTTATTCAAAATTTTCGTCTTTTTTATAATTTTCGAATAAAAAAAAAGATGTACCTAAACACGTGTTTTGCTGTAAACTTGTGAATTTTTTCAATTTTCTCAAAATAAAAAAATTGGGGCTGAACAAAATTAAAATTAATAGAGAACTTTTGAAAAATCTATGAAATGTTCTAAAATGTTACTTCAAAAAGTGGATTTTCTATTTTAACATTTACAAAATATGTTATCTTCCTTTGTCACTTTTATAGAAAATCTGAAAACTTGATATTCGTGTCTGCATTATAGCTATTAATTTATTTTTAAATCCACCATTAATTTCTAAGGTTGAGAATTGGGTTTTAGATCAATTTTTAAAAGAAAGAAAAAATTTTGCTTTTTTAATAGCACTTCATTTAATATGTTTGTAGTCGGAAATTTTAAATAAAACTCTGATATATTTCTTTTTTGCCGGTTTTATTTTCCTTTTTAATCTCGTTTTAATTAAAGCAATTACAAATTCAAACACAAAAACCCCGAAACCACAAATATACCCTAAAACCAAGACCAAAAAGGCTCCTTGAAGATGATGCAAAGTCAATGCTTGAACAAACCCACTTTCATCTTGACTTCTTTTACGTGAAACGTAAGTGTATCTCCTTGCCATAGCACTGGCTAATCCATGTGTTGTCATTAAATTAATCACTTTATTAAATCGTGACAAAAAGGGGAAACCCCTATTGGTGACCATAACCACCGAATAGGTAAAAATCCTATCTTCGAGGATAAAAACCTTAGGTTTACCCCTAGCATCGGTCACTAATGGATCATTTTTCGCTAGTAAATAATCAAGAAAAACATAATTTACGATACTTGCCGTGTCACCATCATCACCGACACTAGTCAACCAAATGTGAAGTGATTCATTAACTTGGAATAAATCATAAATTTGCATGGCTTTCTCGTCGTTTGTGACATTGAAAATGTCTTTATAGATGGGTAAACCCCCGATATCCCAATTTTTGTACAAAACACCGTCGATTGAGTCAACTTGGGGTTCGCGTTGGGGCAAAGTGAGGTAATTAATGAGCGAACTCGTGTAAACCGCAGTATTAATTATGCTGAAAATGTTTAAACCCATGAAAATAACTCTTGAAAAATCAGACCGTGGTTGGCGATCCACTGCAGTCACTATCATAACTTGAAACGTTGCAAGCAAATCATTACCGAATTTTTTATAATGATTGTTTGAAATTGAGGTGACTTTTAATAAAATGGCAGAGACGAAAACTACCCCCACGCAAAGTATCCACAAGTACCAACTGAAAATGACAGTGAGGACGCGCCATTTGGGCACATATTGTGCTATGGGTACTATCCATACTAGCCCCGATAAATAGTACGCATCCGTGTTGGCAAAATCTTGGATATATTCAGGAGCGACATAAAAATTACCAATACCAATAGCTGAATTGTTGTAGACTTGCCCCAAACCTTTGGTCCACTCACCCTCCTCTTTAACCCCCCAGGAATCCTCCCCGGTTATAGTCACATTGAAGGTGATATTAAGAGTTTGTCCGATTTGTTTCAAAAGTGTTATTTCGAATCCTTCATTTTCGTTGATGACAAACGGTTCGAGTGGATTTGCTACAACGTCTAAAGTACAGTTATTGAAGGGTTTGAAAATTTTGCCTTGGTAGAAATTCGTATTGTACAAGACTTCTCCCCGAGTACAGTAATCCGCAATCACGATTTTGGAGCCTTCCAAACAGTGGTTTTGCGGTTTTAGGGCAAATTCCATCGAGTAGAGAATAAAATGCTTCAAATTTGTCGGAATCAAAACCGCCGTTTCAGTTATCGATTTTTGCCAAAATTTCTCCAAGATTTTTCGTGCGTTTGACTTGTGATTCCTCCCAACATTTGAATAATAAACCAAGAACAAAGCACGAGGATTGTAGGTGGTCACTTCTGTCAAAACTTGCAATTTCTTATCGAAATTATCGAGGGAATCGACCACGAAGAGATAGAAACGTGGCAAAATCGTCGTGTCAAAGTCATTTCGGTCATCGTCAATCACTTCAATGTTAAAAATTTGCAAATTGTTGAGTTTTTTTATTATTTTATTCTGGATTTGGTATCCGGGCGAAGTCATGGCTTTCGTGGTCAGAATTGTTAAAAATCGGATGTCCAAATTTAAGTAATTTTTGTAAAATTGTCTCGTTGCGATTTTTTCTAGACAATTCAGGGCGTAATTTTCGTGGATGGGACCTTTGGGGTTTAAGAGAGGTCGACTCATGGCGATAACGGAGGCAGTGATTATTAGGTAATTGTTCATGATGATGTGTACTAGTCATTCACTACAGACGGTATTTATTTACAAGATTCGTGATGTTTGCGTGTTATCAGTTGGTGATTTCTGGTGACAGATAGGAGAACATGAATAACATTTTAAATGATGGACACAGGTTCACGAAATCGTGGAGAGTGGCTGTTTGATAGGAAAAAACTAGCGATTTGTGATATTTCTCACAAATTTTCCAGTATTGGTGTTGATAAATTAATTAGCTTGATGTTACTGAAAATCACTCGTCCTATTTTTTTTTTAATAAATTACATAATTTTAATAATATACATAATTACTGTAAATTTTGGAAAAGATAAATGTTTTTTTGCTTTTTCTTATCCCTCAAATTATTTTCGCACAAAATTCATTATTTTATGGGTAGTTTTTTAAATCCTCGAATAGATCGATTTTATTTTTGTAAATGATACATTTTTATTATAAATACATACTATTCTTTATAAAGTCAATGGTTTTTAAATAACGACGTTATCAGTATTTTTTTAAACAGCAACCAACATTTTAGTTTACTGTTATTGGTAATATTTTCTTCTAAAAAGATAGAAGAATATGTACCTATTACCAAAAACAGTCAAGAAAATTCTTGGTTGCCATTTAAAAAAAATAATGATAACGTGATTACTCAAAATATAATGGCGTCATAAATGTTAGAATACCGTCAAAATGTAGCAGTTATAAGAATAAAATCCTGTTTGAAAATATGAATTTTGTGCGTTATTTTTATTTCACAATTTTTTGAGGGGCCATTAAAAATTCTAGTAATTCCAATAATCCACCTTATTTCCTTTGTTTTCAGTTTAATTTCTACTATTCCAAATTAATAGTTCTAAGAAATTCGACGTAATCTTCAAAAGAAAAATTATCACCGAAAATTCCAAACAGAATTAAAGTAATTTCAGAAAAATTCCAGTAATTCCAAAAAATTCCGTAATTCCAAAAAATTCCAGTAATTTCAATAACAATAATTTCAATAATTCCAATTTAATTTCTTTAATTGACCGTCTCTTATGTAAAATTGTCGGGAAAATTCGCCTAAGTCCCTTTAGTTTCCGAGTTATGTATTTTTTTTCAAAAGTTTGAAACCTAAAATTGCTTCCTTAGCCGAAACTATAACTTCGATCGACTCCGGGTTTTCGACATGTTTTTTAAATTGTTCCATAGATCTCATAATTTTTGTAAAAAAAACGCGTTTCGAATTTCGAGAAATCGCGTTTTTCACTTTTTTGCAGTTTTTTTTTTCATATCCGTTTTTTTTTTCCAACAGTATCAAACATGGGGGTTCACACCTAATAGTTTCAGAGTTTTGAAAAAATCAAAAAATTCAGAAACATTAAAATCGGTTCAAACGGCGTTTTTCACACCCCTAGAGGTGCTATAGGGATTTACAGAAATGTATAACACGTTCTAATTTTGCTTGCTAATTTTAGGGAAAAGTGCTTATACAAACGTACCTAACATAAGGGCCTACGCCAAATAGTTCCGGAGTTAAGGACAAATATCCGCTCCGGGTACTGAAAATCCTAGATTCCTGAATTTCTTAACTTCCGTAACTTTTATTCCAAATTAATTCCGGTAGTTCTGATAATTACAAAAAGAATTCCAGTAATTCCACCCAATTTAGATTAAATTCCAAAATTTGCACAACTGATTATTGGCCCTTCGAAATATATCAATTTGATAGATATTTGTGATTTTAACTACGTCTCAGATAAGAAGTTCATAAATAACAGTATATTACATACGAGTTGCACGGTAGGAAGAGTTTGAAATTCCGATACTAACCGCGTAGCGGCGAGTTGAGGATTAAACGATTGCTTGAATGACCTTTTGTAATGTTTTTTTTTTTGCACAATTTTTTCTATTTTGCGGTTTTTTTTACTTCAAACGACATTTTCACGAATATTAAACACAAAAATACACTAGGCTGCTGTTAACGCACTGAGAATCTGTTAAATTAGTTAATAATGACGCAAAGTAGAAAAAAAACATTTTACATGTCAGTTTTGGCATTTTTACCAATTTTATAAAGAATTTTTTTTTATTTTTGCTTTTTCTTATACCTTAAATGGCAAAAAGCAGACAATTTTATGCTTTTGTTGTTATTCAGAAAAAAAACTTCATAAATAAAAATTAACATTTAAAATTCGCACCGAAACATCAAAAACTGATCCAAAATTCATCTGCTGACCTTTTGATTTTTTCTGTTTCAGGCAGATTTCCATGTTATCATCTTTATTGTTATTTTTACCACTTCCATCATATAAAAAATGAATTGTATTTAAGACAAAGTTCATCTTTAAGTTGGATCTTTTTTATCAAATTAACGTAAATGAGTCTTCAGTTGCGAAAGACCATTTTTTTTAGATGAATAACAATTTTACACTGACCAATTTAAAGATAACAAACAACTTTGTTATTATTTGAACATCTGTAATAATGTAATTCAGAGGTCAAAACCTTTCGAAAAAAAATCGTGTTCAATACAAAGTCTGTAGTGATGACAGAGACATTTGATGCAGCAAATCAAAACACAACTGATTCGTTTCCTGAGTACAAAAATCACAAACTTACGCGAAATCTTATCGTCGTGCTTTTGAATAACGGTAATGAATCATTTATGTCACCATGTTTATTTCACAATTACAATGTTTTATTGCCTAATAGAAAATATCCTCACTGGTACAAAGAGAAAAGGTAAAAGAACGATTATTGCCCTTAATTTTGACCATTTATTACAATGATGGATGAATAATCATAAAAATACACAGTACATTTAAATAAATCGTGTGTCTTACATCTAGACTAGTCTTCTTCTCAATGGATATGAAACCCACTTAAGCCGAATCTTTGCTTGAGATGTACTTGATCAAATCGACGACTCGGCTCGAATACCCATACTCGTTATCGTACCAGGAAATCAACTTGACAAAAGTTGGACTGAGTTGAATTCCAGCTTTGGCATCGAAAATCGAGGAATGTGTATCTCCAACAAAATCGCACGAAACGACCTCCTCCTCAGTGTACCCCAAAATCCCCTTCAAGGGCCCTTCAGCTGCCGCCTTGACCTTGGCTTTAATCTCATCATAAGTCGCCGGTTTGCCCAAACGAACGGTCAAATCCACAACTGAGACATTCGGAACGGGAACTCTGAACGCCATTCCTGTCAATTTCCCATTCAACGCCGGGATGACTTTCCCCACAGCTTTGGCAGCCCCAGTCGCAGCCGGAATGATATTTTGGCCAGCTCCACGACCGTCACGCCACAGTTTCCCCGAAGGACCATCAACAGTCTTTTGTGTGGCTGTGGTGGCGTGAACTGTGGTCATCAACCCCTCGACGATTTCAAAATTGTCATGGATGACCTTAGCCAAGGGAGCTAGACAATTCGTGGTGCAGGAAGCGTTAGAAATGACTTTGGCGGAGGGGTCGTAGGCGTCCAAGTTGACACCGCAGACATACATGGGGGCGTCGGCTGACGGGGCCGAAATGATCACTTTCTTAGCGCCTCCTTCAATGTGAGCGGAGGCCTTTTCAATGGTGGTGAACACGCCGGTGGACTCAACGACATAGTCAGCCCCCACTTTGCCCCATGGAATCGCCTTGGGGTCGCGTTCGCTGAAAACGCTGATCTTGTTGCCGTTTACGACCAAAAAGCCCCCCTCGGCTTTCACTTCGCCCTTGAAACGGCCATGGGTCGAGTCGTATTTGAAGAGGTAGACCATGTAGTCGAGTCCGATGAAGGGATCGTTGACAGCGACGACATTAGCTCCCCGTTCCAAAGACGTACGAAGGACCAGACGCCCAATACGTCCAAAACCGTTGATTCCAATTTTAGCCATTTTCGCTGAAACGAGAAAAAAAGCCCTATTAAATTTTGGACAAGGTCATGGAGGTCATCAATTCGCCGGTTGATTTCGGCCAATTCGAAGCTTGCAGAATTTAGAATTTTGAAAACGCGACAAATTTGTATTAAACGTGATACGTGACAAGCCATACGGTTTAAAATAAGATCCAAATTCCATAAAAACTGCTCCCAGTAGGGTTGAATGAATTCGAGAAAAGCAATAACAAGCTCGCGTACATTGTTCAAATTCACATTATTCAAACTCATCGCCGCTATGAAATCAATGATAAATAAGGAAATAATACAAGTTTTTTACTTACGATTAAAAACTGTGATTTATGCACGACCACCAAGACCGAAATGTCATTTGAAGGGCAAATGCGACGTTTAAAAATCAAACGCCCTGGTCACGTGTCCGCGACGCATGCGCACAACGTGTGCCTTTGGGGATTTTTGGTTTAAAAATTATCAAAAACAGGGGAAAAATTAACTCAAATTTATTTCATTTAAAAATTACAAAAAACAGCGATTACACAATATTATGAAATAGTTATTAAAATTAGTCGAAAAAGGTACACAGACATGGCTCCCTCACTGAGGGCTTAGAACTAGCACAGCCACATTTCTCTGACAATTTTATTTATTGTCTTATTGCCCTTTGTAGTTTCCTAATACGTTGCGTCAGAATTTGTCCTACGTCCTTCAAGTCCCCATTTTCGTCCTTGTCTGTAAAAAAAAATCGTTCAATTCTCGATTTTTCCCGGAAAATTCTTACCATCGTAATAAATCAGTTCGCAGAAATTGGTACAGTCTTCGCGTTCTTTAAGCACTTTCTGCAACGTTAAGTAAAACTGTAAAACAATGTCGTTTTTGTGCTTCGCGTAGTAGCCTAAAAAAGTGTTTAGCAATTATTTTATGAATTTTTTGAGCGTACTTGAATGTTCCCCATTGGATTCCACCACGTCTTTGAACGTTTTCAAAGGTGTGGCGTATTCGGCCGCCACATAAATCCTTTTGCCATCCTCGGCTTTGATTTTGTAAACTGAGTTTTTGTAGACTCGATTTTGAACACCAGCTACTGTCATCACTATTTCCTCAAGGGACTGCAAATGTTATTTAAAGAGTGAAAACTTGAATTGAGTGCGACTCACGGAACTCTCTTCAATGCTTGGCGATTTGTCGGTTTTTAAGCTAGTTGAGCAATAAAGTGACTTTGGTATTAGAATAAACAACTTGTAAAACGCGAGTTTTACATGATGTCTGTCCTCGTAATCCTTCATAAGTTCTTCTAAATGTTTCTTAGAAGTGCCCGTGTTGGGGATTACCAATTTGAGGTAACCGTGGAAGAAGGAATGGGCCATTCCTGAGCCGTAGTCCAAACCTGGGCAATTTTCTATCCACAAAGAGTCGTACAAAGGGCCACTTTTCTGTGATTAAAGCGATATGATATTTTTTTTTGTATTCCTGCAGTGGTCTTACCAATTTGAAGTTTTCTTGCAGAAAAAATGCACACGCCAGTGACGATAACATTGAAATCAGGCCCATTTCATGCCACGGTAATTTGTTGTATTGGTTATACATTACGTACGAAATAAATGCAAATAAAAAATAAACAATAATAATAAAAATACTATTCGAAAAATGAAAAATGTCTTTAAGTAAAGTTAAAAAATTGTTCTTGTAACGTGTTTCCAAATGTTCGTATTCTTCCACCCCGTGTAAAAGTCGAGTAATTAACTCTAACACGAACAAGAAAAGCAAAGAGATGGACAAAATAACTACAAAAAATTATAAAACGACAAGAATTTCAAAAATTATTACTCACAAACTGATCCAATAAAACCCGAGTTGCTTTGATTGCAAAGAAAACTCACTAAAACTAACAATGATGAAAATAATAAGAAATAAATGCGTGTTACCGGTAAAAAACACCAAGCTTGCACAATAGGATAATGATTTACTTAGGCCGGTCCTGGTTTTTGGTAGGGACTTTCGCAGATTTCGCCTAGTCCGGACCTGTTGCAAAAAATAAATTATCTCTCAATTAATTCAATTTGTACAACTTACGGCTCTAGACGAGGCATTGTTTACGGGATTATTCATGATTATTATTAAGCAATTAATACGTTTTTACACATTAAAGTTTTGCAAACACTGAAAAATGCAGCGATGCCACGTATTGCATAATGGTGATTTTTCTAGCTTCCGGCCTCACTTTTTAAACGAAAATTGCATCAAATAGTATTCTGAAATAAATCTAAACTTTGGATAATGACAAACAATAAAACGATTTATGTAATTCGATTTTTCGTAATAAATGATAACACTGACAACGTTGCAAATGATTCATTTGTCACAAATGTCAAATTTCGTGATAAGGTTGTCAAAATTATGGACGATGTTGTGAGGCGCCGTGAGGCACGAAGACGCAAAATTTTGGAAAATTCGCAAAACCGGTTAAATAGAATCACAGGGATTGAGCAGAAGTCGCCAACAAGTTAGTACAGTTTGGGTCAAAAGTGAGGTTATAATGTTGTCATTACAGAGTTACCGCATTTGCAAAGTCACGATTTTGAGACAGATGCTCCTAGTTTTGTGGACAATAATGAAAGGATAAGTGAGGTAAAAGCGGGGACTGGTGGCACCGAACAAGTGAAATTGCCCCACAAACAATACAGGGTTGTTGTTTTAGCTGGATTGGCAGTTTTTGTAAATTTTTTGTTAATTCTGGACGCACTTATCCTGAAACTTGATCCCAAATCGACTCATCTTAACAAGATTTTCATACCTTTGTTCGTATATGAAGTGACTCAATTTTTCTCAAGTAAGCCCAAATCTGACAAGAATTTTATCTACTTGTTGTTAATTGCAAACGCTAAAAACAGTCATCTTGTAACATTAATTAAACAGCTTGAATTAGTCGCAGGAATAATCCAAGATTTGATGATTTATTTCTTCGTTTTTGTGTGTTGTAATTTTGTTAGGTATGCACTGGTGCCTAGTTGACGCCGTCAAGTGTGAACAAGTGCCTTAATTGCATTTACTGGGTGTATAAATTTTTGTAATAAAAAGTTAAGTATATTTATTTGATGAAATAACACACATTCCTAAAATAAAAGTAACTAACGCTTAAAAAATTTGAAAAGTTTTTGTAGAATCCCATCTTTTTCACCATTCCTCGGACTACAATCCGCCTTTTCGACCAAACTAAACTGAGATTCTTTTACTGTGCCTTCACCTGACCTGGCGGGTGGTGGAGGTGGAAGACACGCGAGTCCCTATTTCTTCTTTGGGGGTTTAGGGGTTGTCAAATTTAAGGTACTTTGACGCACGAGATCTGTTTTCCCTTCTTCTACCATCTTCAATTCCCATTTCTTCAACTCTTGATCATACTGTTTTTTTGCTTTTTCAGCCGCTTCCACATATTTGGATTTTTTTTCATTAGGTAACTCAGCCCACTCGCCTTTTAATTCTTTCATTAATTCTGGTATTGTTTTATTCTGAGTTTTGACTTGATCCATTAAATACAACAAGTAAGCCCCTACTGGTCTCTTTGGTTTGTCGTTTTCGCGCAACATTTTCCGTTTTTCTCTCTTAACTCGGGATTTTTTCACCTCTTGGTTGTACTCCTTCAGGGCTTCTCTCTGCTCATCAGTGAGGCTCTCAGTGTATTGGAGATACCTCCTCGCGTATTCCTCCATCTCGATTTTGAATTCGTTTTGGTATTTGGCTTTGAGGGAAGGATCTGCTGTTTTCCAGTGTGTAGCACATTGACTTGTTACTTGAGTCATTTTCAAATTTGGATTTTCTTTAAGTATATCTTGTCTATGATCCCTAACAAACTTCAAGTACGGCGTGAGGGGCCTTTTGGGCTTATCTGGTAATTTTAATTCTTTCAACTTGTCCACTACTTTGTGACTTACTCCCGATATTTGGTTAAGTTGGGGTAACCTGAAGAAACCGAAAAATAAGTAATCACAAACTTGCCGATTTATTACCCATTGTTAATTAATAAACGACAATTTGCAAAACTAGATAAAAAAAAGAAACGAGCCATTATGTTAACTTAAAATTATCAGAAATTGAGGTTAACAAACACTTAAGCCGCCATTTCTGACTAGTGACATTAGCATCGCCAACACAAAATTACTAGAATTTTATCAAGAATTTTGATTTTTTTTTTAATTACTGTTGCGAATAATTGGCAATCACTTTCATGACGTTAGTTTTATTACCACGAATTTTAATATCGTTTTTTGATAAAATGCCAAATTCCTATTTCCTATTGGTTGACATTTAACTGTCATGTCAGGTCACGTCTAAAAATGGTGATTTGAAGAAAAGAAAATTTTGATTTATTTTTATTCTCTTTGAACAAATCGTTGAAACATATGGTGAGTACCTTTTAAATTTGTATTTTTTAATTTACCATAATGCTACATGGTGCTGTTGTGTTATATTTTGAAAGTTTATTGAATTTCAAATATTTGCTATAACCTCAAATTTTGTCGCGATTTATCGCTAAAAATAGGGCTGTTGTCGTGTGATAACTCGCCTTATAAATACGTACACGTCGCCAATCCAAATTTGTGTAAGAATGAGTTATTTTTGATTTTTTCCATCGTTTAGGTTAAGTGTGTCACAATGTCATGGCCATGGGGGTCATTAGACCTGGTATTTATACATAAACGAAAGTAAATAGTCGTTTGTTGACCGTTGTCGCTGTCACACCACCATTCATTGAAGTTTTTTTCGTAAACTCCACCAATTAAATTATTTTCTTTTGTTTAAAAATTTAGAGCGAAACGCTCAAGAGGATGCTTCAAGAGAAAGTTCTCATAATTGTGTTTCACCTGTCTTCATCACTTTCCCACTAGTGTGTCCCGCATCACCACCATGGCCTTGAAGACTGAAAATAGAAAAAAAATCGATTTCGTAGCAAAAAATCTCCTCGCTGGGGGTGAGTTTCTCAATCTTGTTGAATGTGTTTCAATGGTGAAATTAGGGATTGCTGGTATGGTGTCAAAAACCACGGTCGCCCCCTTGGACCGCATCAAGATCCTCCTTCAGGCGCACAACAAGCATCATGCGTGTCATGGGGTTTTTTCGGGGCTGCGCCACATAATCAAAACTGAATCACCATGGGCGATGTACAAGGGAAATGGGGCTCAAATGTTGCGGATTTTTCCGTATGCTGCAACTCAATTTACGTCCTTTGAAATTTACAAGAGATATTTGGATGGGGTTTTCGGGAGTACATCCCATATTGATAAGTTTATAGCGGGGGCCGGAGCCGGATTAACGGCCGTCACCTTGACCTATCCGCTGGATACGATACGAGCGCGATTAGCTTTCCAGGTTAGTAAAATTGAGAAAAGTCAATCGACAGTGATTTCACTAAAACGGTTGTGAAATCGCTGTAATTGCCTTTATTAATTATTGTGTCGTGGTGAGCGGCGGCTAAAATGATTAATTTTGTAATACTTGTATGCAATAAACAATGGCATTTGCTTAATAGGTGAAGAGAAAATTCGTGTGGGTTTCACATTATTGTGTTACATTTTTTTTTTCTATAATTTTTAAACATTCAGTCAAATTGAAAAAAGTGGTCGTCAATGTCACATTTTGACATTGATTCCTTTGTAAATGAACGTACTTAAATTTACAAAAATAAATGAGTTGGCTTGATCTTTGAAACGTGGAACGGGCGTGATTTTTTATTTTTAAGAGACATTCGGTGTCAAATGGGTTAAATTATTCTAACACGATAATAATATAGTATGAATTATTCACAATTATAGCATGCAATTAGAGTTTATTTCTACGTGAAAGCTTATTGTTAATTACCAACTACAGTAATTAACTTAATCGTAAAAAGTAGGTTTTTTAAATGATTAACTTTTTTTTTAAATAATTATTTGCAAGAAATGCGCACTGAGTTTGTTTCTTTAGAATTTGGGTAAATTCTTGTGGTGAAATTTTGAATTTAGGACAAATCATACCTGCAGCTTTGAGCGCATTTGGAGTCGATCGCGATGTACAAGAATAAATTTGTTGACACCAAAATGAGCTTTGGTGAACTAGATTCTAAATAAATTTTGGTTAGTGTTTTTTTATACAGTTTTAAAACATTATTTGCAAGTGTGGTAAGTGTGTCAGATGATGCTTCGGGGTTTATTAAAACATTTAACGAAACGTGAAAGAAATGATGCAACTAGTATGTAGTGGGTGTGTTTTTTTTTAGAAAAAGACTGCAAAAATTTACATAATAAACAGTTTGAGTTAAAAATAGTATTTTACAGAACTACGCGTCCTAATTTTTCATTTCTTCGTTTTTTTTTTACGAAAAAAGTAGTTGCGCAAAAATTTATAAATCATTATAGAAGCGACATTAAGTTAATTGCAATCAAACGTCAGATTAACTGATCACGTGACCAAATTGACCAATCAAACGCACAGATTAACGTATTAAGCGCGCATTAACTTTTAACAACGAATTAATTTTTAATTTGCCTTCTATACACATAGTTTACTTTTATAAAAAAAATAATCAATACATACTAGTGTTCTGAAAAAATTTAAGAGTAGAAGTATGTACAAGAAAGTATTCTAAAACAAACAAAAAATTTGGAATAAAAAAAATATATAATAAATAAGATGAAAACCTATCAAAAAGTAAATCTCTCTTTCGAACTTCCTTATAAAATGATTTAAATATGTTTTTCAAAGTGAGCAAAAGATAATATTTTATAATTTTTTTAAATGTACAGTCGCGGCCCTTGAAAACTAAAACATTCACTTTTGGTATACTATTTGCTATTTTAAAAATTAGAAAAATTAGATTTTCAACATGGATGACAATGTCAATTTTAATTTTCCGGATTCAAATGGTGCTGCAATAAAATACAGTGCGATCGAAAAAAAAAATTAAATGCTGTACAAGACGCAAAAGGTAAATGGTCATTTTCACTTGCAGTTTGTGTAGAAAATTTCCAGCAAAAGTTGTTGCCAACTGTAGAAGATTAATTGTCGCCTACTCTAATTTATTTATTTTTTCGATCGCACGGTATTAGTTATTTCTGTCTGCCTACAAAGTTGAAGTTCATTCTTTTGAAGTCAAGTTTTCTAGTCTACGACACTGACTCGTAATTATTTGAATGAAATTTTGGAGACTACAGTTGCAGGCCATTTTACAATGACAAAATTTTGGATTTATCAAAGTCTTGGTTTTAAACGGCCGCGACTATTCATACAAAAAAACGACACGATTATTTTAAAAATTTCAATTAAATCGGAAGAATAAAAAGCTTTTACAAATCACATATCTAAAGTGAGGCAAATACGTGGAAAAAAAACCCTGTCTTGCTTTGAATTAATCACATTTCATGAAATTTATCGCGAATGCAAAAATCTATTTAACGCATAAAATTTTACTTTGGAAAAAGTTTTTTGAATTTTTTACCACATTGGGATTTCCTAACTAATATTCTTCAAAAAATGTCTCTTGTGTAATTTTTAACGACGCACTGTTTTTGAGAAAAACGATTTTTTTCTTAACCGTGCATCGACCTTAATTCCGAAAAGCAACCCATGTAGTGAGTTTCTTTGAACGGTTTTTCCGGACACTCTGTATATTCATGACTACATTCATTCATGTACATGACTACATGAGTATACTGATATGTGAGAACAGATATAGAAATAAAAAGAAAATAATGATAAAGTCAGAAGTTATTACTAGGGAGAATATTTTTAAAGAGTTTTAAGGGATTACGCATATTTACTAAAAAAAAATTTATTCAATTTTTTTATTTTCTATATTTTTTAAAATGTAGGTAGGTGAAGTTGACAAAATTATAAAAAAGAAAATGATAATTGGCCCATTTCGTCAGTTTTCCAAAAACTTGCTAAAAATTACAGATTTTTTTTTTCAAAAATTTCAACAATTAATTATTTAAAAGAAAAATCGTCGTTCCATAAATAACACAACATAAGAAAAGATGCGATAATAATGAGCTACTTTTAATTATTTTACATAAGATCTATGAAGTACTTCAAAACCAGCTTCCGGAAATGCTCAAAATAACTCGATATATCGAAAACAACTCATATTTGACGCGATTTCACAATATTTCGAAAGTTTTTGGGATTTACACTTGCACTTTTGCAAAATTGTGCAATTGTTTCTACGAAACTTTATTTTGTGTAGATTAGCGGCGAGCACGTATACACAGGCATCGCGCACGCCGCCACCACCATCTTCAAAGAAGAAGGCGGTACTCGTGCTCTCTATCGCGGCTTCCTACCCACCCTCATGGGCATGGTCCCCTACGCCGGGCTCTCCTTCTACTGCTTCGAATACCTGAAATACGGTTGCATGAAATACCTGCCGAAAGTCACGTGCAATCCTTGCGAGAAAAACACCGGCGGTTTGGTGTTGGCAATGCCGGCGAAACTCATCTGTGGAGGACTAGCAGGAGCGGTGGCTCAAAGTGTGAGTTATCCTTTGGATGTGACCAGAAGACGCATGCAACTCGCATTGATGAATCCACACACGGAGAAATTCGCAAAGGGGATGTTTAATACTCTAAGATTGATTTATAACGAGAATGGGGTCTTAAAAGGGTGGTATCGGGGGATGTCGATTAATTATTTGAGGGCGATCCCGATGGTGGCGGTCTCATTCACCACGTATGAGACGTGCAAGCAGGTTTTGAATCTTGACACGGGGTTGCAGGTCAAGTAGGGTGTGATAATCCAGATTTTTTAATATCTCTCTATTTTACTAAAGCGATTTTGATATTGTAAGACATTCCGACAATTGTTGATTATTTATTATTGTAGGTTTTAGCCTTTTAGATCTTACGTTAAGTACTAAAATATTTATTTCGATTACACTTGTTATTTGAAGTTACCACAGTACAAACTGAAAATTGTAATTTATTCCCGAAAATAAAGACACACATGCAATTTTGTTTTATTATTCTTGGGTTATCCTGCGCATCGTGGGGGTGCGGTCGATTGGGTCACCTTGGCGCCAAGCTCAGTGAGTGATAAAACTCTGCTCCAGACTCACGCAACTTTTTGAAAGAAGAGTGACAGTTTTCGCCATCACTTCATTTTGACTTTTTTGTGAGTATGTCAGTTTTGTAGTGCCAAATGGGTTAAAAGTATGTGGTTTTTCGAATTGTTTGCTCCTCTTATTTGAACTTCGCGTCATAACTTTACTTTCTAAATATTACTTTTAATAATTTAGTTTTTTGTACCAAAAACAAGCAGTGTTTTTCTTCCTGATTAAACTTGTTGTTTGGACATTTTAATAACTCGGTGAGTGGTTTTCTGTTATTAATAGTTTCATTATCAACAGGTGCGATAAAATTCATTTTTGGGTTTGGAGAAAATGGAAGTTCCCGCTAAAGGGGGCTACTGTGGTCGTAAGTTATTTTTTCACTACTGCTATTAATGGATTTTATGCGTTACTAAATTTAGCGTTCCCACAAATCTCACATTTTTATTGTGCGTTTTCTGTCGTTTTTTACAGTGATCAATCCTTCAAAATAGTTCTTTAGACTATAATTACTATAATTTTAACTATAAAATTACGTTATTTTGAGACACTTTTTTTAAGTGTAATTTTTGTTACATAATTCATCTTGTGAGAATAAACATAATATAAAAATATTAATGATAAGAAAGTTTGTTATTTATTCATTGTATACTTCAGAAGTCGTTACTGTTCAAATTTACAAATATACAGGTTGTCCCAACTGAGAATTTTTTTTGCGTCCACATCTTACACGAAGAAAACAATGATTTTATTCAATTAAATAAATTTTGCGAATTTTTCCTTTCGAAAAAATTCAGTATACCCTAAAAAAATCAAAAAAATTTGGTTCATTTTGAAGTGTTATTGAAATGAGATTAAAAATAAATAATTCTAACGTCCGTCGTCTTATTTCATGAGAGTTTCAAGAAAAATTATTGAAAGATTTAATGTTAAAATTCAAACAATAATTGCTAAAAAAATTCCTATTTTCCAATTTATAAATTTGCAAATGTTGAGCTAAGAATTTTATTGCGTTTAATTTTAATTTACATAATACAAAACTGTCATTGTTTGTTTAAAATAAAAAAAATACCAGTGTCATTAAAAAAAAAACAGTCAACTTGGTTAATTTTGAAGTATTTTTCAAAAGATTTGATTTGTATTTTAAATTAGATTAAAAATAAAGATGAGAGTCGAATGTTTTTGCTTTTTTAATGCTCTATTTTCAAGAGTTTCATACAACAATTTTTGCTAAAAACAATTTGATGGACGATAATGTTTTCTGTTGTCTTTTTTTACACAGTGGTCTTCAGTCTTTAAAATTATTTTTTTAACTATAATTGAATCAATCTAAAAATTACTAATTCGTATCATAATTTTGAAGTATTTTTTGCTAAAAAAAGTTTAATTTGTGTCTAGTTACATAATTCATCTTGTGAGAATAAACAAAATATAAAAATATTAATGATAAGAAGGTTTGATATTTATTCATTGTATAAATCAGAAGTAATGGTTAAAAATTACAAATATACAGGTGTGCCAGCTAAAAATGTATTTATTTATGAGTTCAGATTTTCCAAACTGTCAACCAATTTACAGAGAAAACATTGTTTTTATTTAAATAGGTTTTTTGAATAAAATAATGTGAAAAAAAATCACTATCTTCCAAAAAAATTTGGTTCATTTCCAAGTGTCTTTATTTAAATTTAAATGAAATTAAAAAGTAGCAATAGAAAACGTGGAAATTTTAAATAGCTTTTTTTCTACATTTAAGCGAATTTTTATTTGCTAAATTAAGGAAAATTATTGAAAAATTGTTAAAAAAAATGAACATAGTGTCATTACAAAAAAACATTTAATTTAGTTCATTTTGAAGTACCCATTTTTCAAATGATTTGATTCTTAATATTTTTTTTTTTTTAATTAGATTAAAAATAAAGATAAGAGTAGATGGTTTCTGGTCAGTCTCTCCGTATATTGGTTAAAAATAGGTCCTTTGTTTATTTTCTCTATATTTAAGAGTTACACAATTTTTGTTAAAAAATAAGTTCCAATTTTCCCTTGGATTTTTATGCACCACGACAATTTAATAACAAAAAAAAAACTTTCAGTGTTTAACAAACATGCTGAAAACTTATTTCAGAAAATGCCAAGTGGAGAAAAGTGATTGTTAAAATAGAAAATGTTAACACAGTATATTTTAAAAATCTTTGATTAATTCCTAGCAAAATGCAAGGCCCGCTACATCCTGGCCATCATGAGCTCGGTGTGCATGGGGCTCGCCTATGGCCTAAAAGTGAGCCTCCATGTCGCGATCGTGGCAATGGTGAACACCACAGCCACACTTCAAGAACACGAAACTTCAAGCCATTCACCATCAAAATGCGGCTTCGACAACGCTGGGAAAAACGCAACAAAGCCCCCCCAAGACGGCCCCTTCCTCTGGGACAACGAAATTCAAGGCTTACTACTCGGGTCGTACTTTTTCGGCTATATGGTGTCCCTACTGCCCGGCGGATGCATTTCTGAGCTTTACAGTGCAAAATGGGTGTTATTTTTCGCAATCGCTAGTAATGTTGTTGCAATGTTTTTGAGCCCGATTTTATCGAAAGTACACTATGGGGGCCTTCTGGCAATGCGAGTGATTCAAGGGATCGGAGGTGGGGTCACATTCCCTGCCAATCACAACATGATATCACAGTGGTCGCCCCCACTTGAAAGGAGTATAATGAGCAGTATTGTGTATGCGGGGACTTCTCTAGGCACTCTGGTGAGTTTTATAAAGAATGAGTTCCCACTTTTGTACGCAATTTTTTCTATTTTGCGCGATTTTTCAAAACTTAGGAACTTTTGCCCTAATAAGGTGGTGGTTGGTAACAAATGTCACAAAATTCGATTTACGAAGTGTCAAGTCTCGAGTATTTTTCAAAATTTTATTGAATAACAATGAATGCTGCAAATATTTCATACACACCAGCTGAAATAAGAGAAATCGCTCAAAACGCCGCTGAAAATTTACTGCCAACAAAATCACACGAGAAGCAATATCAAAAATTTCAGGATTGTTATAGAGAAAAAAGTATGTACTCGTTTTCACATTAATGTGCATCGAAGTGACAACCATGCGAAAATTCAAATAATCCTAACCTCAATCTTCCCTAAAAATGATTTTTTCAAATAAATGTCTACCCCAGGTAGCAAAAAATAACTGTAATTAACATAGAGTGACAAACAATGATTATTATCATTATCATTATTGATGTGATTAAATTTATTTAAATGACATTAATGACACTTTTGCATTTAAATTAAAGATGAATTTAGACTTTTACAACCTACTTGATGTACATCAATATGAAAAAGAGAATACTCACTTTTAGCAAAAATGTTTTATTGTAAACAATTTACTCAATGTTGAGATCGTGAATAAAATCGTATGTTTGATTTATAACAGTCTCTCTGTGTCATTTTAAATTTTAGGCCGATGAGACTGATATCCGAAGTCCGCAAAACGCGTTGCCAACCTTTAGAAAGTAAATTGTACTAGTTTATTTCAGTTTCAGCACCGGAATTGGTGTTGAAATGGTTCATTAAAGTATCGAAATAAGCTTTCTTTTAGACGAAAAATAGAAAACCAATTTTATTGCAGATTTTTATGTTGATTTCGGGTCTCATAGCGGACGGTTTAGGCTGGGAGGCTGTTTTCTACATAGAAGGGGGATTCTCCACAATTTGGCTTGTCTTGTGGGTTTGCCTAATCGCCGACTCGCCCAAAAAACAAAAACTTATAACTCAAGAAGAACGCGATTACATCGTATCAAGACTTGAGAGCGAAACAGGAGGCGGGGTAAGCAAATTTTCGAAATTTGACTCAACTAATTAATAATTTATTAGGGGCGTCCCCCGTTTCCATGGCGGGCTGTGTTCACCTCGTCGGCCTTTTGGGCTATTTTCGTAGCCCACGTGTGCAGCAATTGGGGCTTTTACCTGCTCCTAATCGAGCTACCAACTTACTTAAAACAAGTCCTAGATTTCGATATTAGCTCAAATGCGGTCTACACCTCGATCCCCTTCTTCACAATGTGGGTTTTCAGCCTGATTCTCTCCAAGATTTTGGACACTTTGCGAGAGAAGAAGAAAATTACTACGACTTTTGCTCGGAAATTGGCCACTTTGATCGCAAGTGTCATCCCGATGAGTTGTTTTATTGTCTTGTGTTTTGTGGAATGTCAGCGACAACTAGCGGTGGCTTTGATGACCATCGCTGTTACCAGCGATGGGGCGATGTTTAGCGGCTTTCTGTCGAATCATATCGATATTGCCCCCAATTTTGCCGGGACTTTGGTCGGTTTGACCAACACAATTGCGACAATTCCCGGGTTTGTGGTCCCGATTATTGTAGGAAAATTGACACATGCCGATGTAAGAAAATTGGTCAATTTGAAAAAAAATAAATAATTGTCGATTTTTAGCCAAGTATACATTCGTGGAGGAAAGTGTTTTACATTACTATTGGACTGTATTGTCTTGAAATTGTGGTGTATACAATTTGGGGGTCCGGGGAAGTACAAGAGTGGAATCAGGGTACTAAACCAAAAGAAGAACAACCTCTGACAGAAAAATAAATTCTACTTTGTTTTAAATCGTTCCATTTTGCGTTTATTCTGATTTATATCCCCTTAATTGTTAAAATTGAAGCAATTACGAGTATTGCTAAAAAATCCTATTTTCCAATTTATAAATATGCAAATGTTGAGCTAAGAATTTTATTTAATTTAGATACTACAAAACTGGCATTGTTTGTTTAAAATAAAAAAAACATACATATAGTGTCATTATTACAAAAAAAAAAAAACAGTTTGGTTCATTTTGAAGTATTTTTCAAAAGATTTGATTTGGTATGTCTGTATTTTAAATTAGATTAAAAATAAAGATGAGTCAAAAGTTTTTGATAAAAATATCTTTTTGCTGTATTTAATACAACTATTTTTGCTAAAAACAATTTGATGGACGAAATGTTTTCTGTTATCTCTATTACACAGTAATCTTCAGTCTTTTTAATTTTAACTATAATTTAATCAATCTAAAAATTACTATTTCGTACAGTAATTTTGAAGTATTTTTTTTTGTTAAAAAAATGTATAATTTGTGTCTAGTTACATAATAAACAAAATATAAAATATTAATGATAAGAAGGTTTGTTATTTACTCATTATATAAATCAGAAGTCGTTGTCGTTGTCGTTAAAAATTACAAATATACAGGGTGTCCCAGCTAAGAATTTATATTTGCGTCCAGATTTTCCAAACTGTCAACTTTTTGAATTTAGAGAGAAGACATTGTTTTCATTTAAATAGATTTTTCAATACCTTTTGAAAAAAAATCACTATCTGCCAAAAAAATATTGGTTCATTTTCAAGTCTTTATTTAAATCAAATTAAAAATTAACAATAGAAAGCGTTGAAAATTTAAATCGCTTTTTTTTCCAAATTTAAGAGAGTTTTTATTTGCTACATTAAAGAAAATTATTGAAAGATTATTATTAAAAAAAAGAGCAGTCATTACAAAAAAAAAAGTTAATTTGTTTCATTTTGAAGTAAATTTCAAATGATTTGATTTGTTTTAATGATATTTTAAATTAAGTTAAGAATAAAGATGATAGAAAGTTTTTCGTCAGTCTCTGTATATTGATCAAAAATAGGCTTTTGTTTTTTTAATTTCTCTATAAGAGTTTCATACGACAATTTTTGCTAAAAACAATTTGATGAACATTGCGTTTTTTGTAATTTTTTTACACCGAGATCGTCAGTCTTTACTTATAATTTTTTACTATAATTAAATCATTATAAAAATTACTGTTTCGTATCGTTAAAGGCATTTTTTGTAAAAAAAAGTATAATTTGTGTCTGGTTACACAACTTATCTTGTGAGAAAAGACAAAATATAAAAATTTTAATGATAAGTAAGTTTGTTATTTATTCAATGAATAAATCAAGTCATTACGGTTCATTACAGGGTGTCCCTGCGTCGAGATTTTCCAAACTCTCCACTTTTTGAATTACCAGAGAAAACAATGTTTTTAAAATAAATTTTTCGAGTAAAAAAATGTGCAATAATACCTTGTGAAAAAAATTCACTATTGTCTGAAAATAATGTAGTCAAAAAATTGGTTCATTTGAAAATTAAAAATAAACAATATAGCGCTTTGAAGGTTTAAATCGCTTTTCGTCTTATTTTTTTCTACATTTAAGAGTTTCTATTCGCTGAATCAAGGAAAATTATTGAAAGAAGAGAAGACAAGCAATTTTGCTAAAAAAATTCCTAATTTCCAATTTATAACTGTTTTGAACAATTTTTATCCGGGGAAGTACAAGAGTGGAATCAAGGGACTAAACCAAAAGAAGAACACCTCTGAGGGAAAAATAAATTCTACTTTCTTTTAAATCGTTCCATTTTACGCTTATTCCGATTTTTGTCCCCTTTCAGCCTCTTTACAACCAGTGGCTGGTAATCGAATTTGCCATTTTTAACAGGGGACTCAACACTTGTATCTAAATCAATAAATACACAATTGCCAACCTTTTGTGATTCTGGAGGGACAAAAACCCGCTTTAGTGACTCTCTTTTCAAATGACAATTTTTCGCTTCCTCTTCATCTTCAGAGTCACTAACAACACAAACACTGACATTTGGAGAATCACTAATCGTGATAACGTCAAGTCTTCTGTGATAATGAATGTGGTTTCGTGGCACCGGATAATTTTCATAGATATTACAAATCGTTTGGTGGATCAACCCCAACTCGGAATCGGGTTTAATCGTCCTTTTTAGGGCGACTGCAGCCCCACTCACCCCACACTTACTTTTAAACACGTCACGCAACATAGGAGACACCAAAACTGGGACATTGTACAACACTGCTTGGTCTATGATGTGCTGGACCAGGAAACGGGGCTGCACACCACTGTCCACTAACACCGAAGCTGCTGCACGACTCTCCAACAATTTCGACACGTCGTTAATCCCAAAAACGATGTTTTGTCGATCTGAGTCACTTGTTGCGAGGGGGACCTGTTTGGTGTAATTTTGGCGGAATTTCTTGCGCTCATCTTTCGGAATTGCCTTAATTTTGGTGTATGGGACATTGACTTTGTCGTACTTCAGTCTCGGTAGGAGCTTCCTGAGAGTTTCTGTCAAATTATTGTTGTCTTCAGTTGTGAGAATAGGCCTGGAAAAGTGAGGTTGGGGCAATTTTGTGTGCGACAAATCGGGAATCTCACCAGTATGTTTGATAGGGCTTCGTTAGGACGTTTTTTACGACTTCAGCTTTCTTCTTTTTACCCGATAAAGTCCTCTTCGCGTCTTTTTTGCCAATTGTTGGTGTTTCCATTGCATGGATAAAGTGAGGTTATGTGTCCCAAATTAAAAATAATTTAACCAACAGCAAATTTTATTCACATTTTCACTGATTAAAAAACTGATGTTTATTGTGTTTTCTGATTGATATTCGATGATTTTGATTAAAATAATTTAAAAAAAAAACAGAAATTCGAAAAGGTTTGCAACAATTAGCTGTTGGCCACAGTGTAACCAGATCAAGAACACAAAATTCACCAGTTTTGAGTTGAAAAAATCGCCAACTTTTCACCAGCAGCAGATTACGATTTGTATGGCTATATCTCACGAAAAAACGCAGTTTTCAGCTTAAAAATCCGTCTAAACTTATGAAAAAAAAAACAAAAATGACATGCATTTCTGCTTAATTCTATGATTTTTCGGCTTGTTTTCAACATTTTGCTAAATAATTTCGTTTCTAGTTGAAAATAATGCTCGAGAAATGCAAAAATAACGTAATTCTAGAGTTAATTTCTTGATTTTTTAGTTTGTTTTAGCAAAATCTAGTAAAAAATCTGAAAAAAACGCACTTAAAAAGCATTTTCAGCCAAATTTTGTGGTTTCTCAGCTTATTTTTGTTTTATTATGCTCAAAAACCAGTTAAATCGAGAGAAACAAAGAAAATAACTTCAATATCAAATGTTTTTATAATCTTTAAGCGTGTTTGGACAAGATTTTGCAAAATAAATGAGCCTTTGGTTCAAAAACGAAGTAAATGCTAAAAGAATCTCAATGTCGATTTAATTTTGTGATTTTTTTGCCTGCTTTAACAAAATTTTTAGATTTGTTTGTTTTTATCTCAAAAACCGGCTTGAAAAAGGCAAAAATAACACCATTTTTGGTCGAATTTGTTGAATTTTTGGATAGTTTTTAACGAAATTTTGCCAAATAATTGTTTCTAGCTGAAAAAGTATTCGAAAAAGAAACAAATAAATTGTCATTTTAGATCCTGTAAAAATCTTGTAAAAACACAAACAAAACTGTTTTTGGACTTCTTTGGAAAAATAATAATCAAGTTTCTGATTGAAAACGTGGAAAATACTGGAAAATCATTTTTTTACATTTTCAAAAAATCACCACAGATTTTAGTAAATCACCAGATTAACATGAAAATCACCAGATCGGGTTAATTTCACCAAACCTGCCAACACTGGTTGGCCAGCCTGACAGTACCAAACAAAAAACAAAATGGCAGATTTTTTCAAATTACTAGTTTATTCGTTTCAGTTTACAAAAATACGTGGGGCCGTAATTTTGGGGTAAGTACGGCACTACTAAATGTCCATATTTCATAATTTTCTTGTTGGCTAGTTTAAAAACACTTTTTGTTTGTCTAAGAGCGGGCGATAAATCACTGGAAGAAAAAGTAAAAAATCGTAAAATGATCACTTTGTTAACTTACACAACCACAATTTTAATTTTGGTTTCTTCCCATATTTTTTTCAAAGCCATGTGAACAACACCATCATTTTGAATGGGACTAAGTGAGCAAGTTGAATACACAACAACTCCCCCTTTTTTGACTAGTTTCAACGCATTAAATAGCAAATCGCACTGTATTTCGGGCAATTTCAGCCTTTCTTTGACCCGCGAAGGCTTAAAAATGTTATTGTCGTTTTCTTTAACCGAGTGACGATCTGTTGTGCACGGAACATCGACCTTGAAACGACTAAATTTAAAAAAATAATTTTATAAAATGAACACCCTACTAAAATCCGGTCAAAATTCTCCTGGGGGAACGACCTGCCGTCGAAATTCGTAATCATGAGTTTCCCCGGCCTGAGCCACCTTTCATTCAAATCGTAAAGAAACTGTTTCGAGACTTTGTAAATCCGATTTGTTCTAGACATTGAAACATCATTTGCTATAATCCTGCTAGGGTATAACGTCTGGATTGCTAGTAACGTTTTGCCCCCAGGGGCGGCACACAAGTCCAAAATAGTGTTCCCGGGGCGTATATCAAGGGCCAAAACGGGCAAAACCGACCCCCCATCCATCATGTAGTAATCCAACACACCCGTAGACCCACTCGAGGAAACCTCAAAATCGCTGTGATTCCCCTCCTCGAAACAATAAACGTTCAAATGCTCCGGGAAGTGAATATCAAACTCTTCCTCAATAAAAACCTCAAAATTATCATTTTTGTAAAACTTGTAATGCGTGGATTCCGGTATGAAATCCTCCTTGCCCTTGATTTTCGTCGCGGGGACGAATTCGTGGAGGATTTCCCCTGAGAGGGCATTTTGAGTGTCAATAATCCGTCGAAGGTCAAGCTCAGCACTGTCCAAACTCGCTTGAAGGGAGACATTTTTCGGCTCATTGACCCTCAATTCAAGCTCTCGGTCGATCCTGTGAACCTCATTTAGCGTTTTCTGTTTTTCTTGAACCGTCCGTCGCTCTTTTGAGTACTGTTTTTCGAGTTTAAACAAAGTTCGCATATTCAAAGCCCCTTGCAACTCAAGCCTGGCCATTGTGGCCTCGCAATCCGAGTAATTGTTAACAACAGCCACGTATTTCTGCTTCCCGAGGAGCCCCTCCCGCATGGAGTCCCAATTCTTCTCGAAAACTTGCCGGTAGAAGTCGTCAAAATGGGCCAATGCTTTGTCCACTGGGTGGATTTTTTTCCGCACAACTGACTGAGAAAAAATTAAAAGGTGTCTTTGGGGCCAAATGACTTACCCAGTGGTCAGGGGCATGTTTGTGTCTCACGATTTGTTTAAAAAGCCCCAACATCTCGACATAACCTTACTTTTCTTGTGTCATGTGTCGCGTGACAGCGCGCGAAATTTGAAATTCAATTCGAATTTGGTCGCAATTAGAGCACAAGAAATGCTATAAATTGTGTCGGAATTTGAATTGGCGTAAATATGATGATCTCATTTCGTCTCTAGCCGCAAATAAATTGAGTTCAAGTGCGCATATGTGGATAAGTTGGCATTCGGCTCTTGCTTGAACTGCGTTTCATATTTAATATTGAGTGTCATCTCTTGGGATGGCAATTTTTCGGGTTTTGGTGTGAATTAAGTGCGCAAATCGGCGAAAAAGCCAATTTTGAATTGTTAGTGAGTGCTCTGTCCTCTTCTAGCTCATTTGTTGGGCGCATGTCTGTGCTCACTTGTTAATTCCCGGGGTTGTACAAAATCCAAGGGTGAGTATTGATTCTAATGTTGTAGTAGTTTGAAAACAGATTTCAATAATTAGTGGTGGGTTTTTCTCCCTAACGATTGATTTTGTTTGTTAGTTACGTAAGTGGGAATGTTTCAGTTCGGTTTTTCGTGGAAAATATAGAAAAATGGATGTGTTGCGTCGAAAATGGATTTTGGGGGGGAATTGCCGAAACAAGGGCTAGACACTGTAAGGGCGCTGCACCAGACTGTTGTCGCTTTGAGACAAGCTTTAGAACAAAGTCGGACCGAAATATTGGAACTGAAAACGAAAAGTTTCCCCATTGAATCGGTCGAACAAACCTTGAAAACACTAGCGTTAGAGAATCACGTTTTGAAGAGTCAACTCACCCAAGAAGCTCAAAAAACAGTATTAGAAAAAAAGGATGACAATCTTAAAAGGCGTTTTCGTGCAAAAATTTGCGTAAAATCTGTTGGGCAAAAGACGTCGCAATCGCTCGAAAGTCTCCTAGTTCTCAACAAAAAACTAACAATATCGAAAACGGTCAGTTTTTCGAATCTCTCCGAGACAGAAATGAATAATAACGAAACCCAGGAACAGAATGACGTAGAAGAGCAGGATCAGGAGCAAGAAGTGGACGATATTGAGTTGATTTTCACCACAGACGAGACCAAAGATTCGGATTTTAAAGAGCAGCTTGTTTCTATCGACGCAGGAGATTCGTCTAATTTGCTCCAATGTCCGGATTTAGACCAAAATTTGGATATTTCCGATCGAGAGCTCGACGATGACGTTTTCAACGATAACCCTGAAGTCGATTTCCGACGGGAAAATTCGCAATTGTACAACTCCAAGTCGGACAATTCGATTAATCAAGAGAAAAGTTTCAAGAGTTGTTATTCGTATCAAGATTCCAGTTTTGAGAATAAGTCGCTGGAGAAAGATGAGAGTTTTGATCGGTTTGAGGAACGGATTAGGATTGTAGAAACGGATATTTCCAAATGTGGGATCCAGGAAGTCGATTATGGGGGATTGAGGCGAAACACGTGTCCCAATCCCCTGCAGTATCGGCCCTTGCTACACCGGTAAGATTTTTTATTTAACTGTTTTTCAAAAAAAAAATAACATTTACTAACACCAACTCTTACTTGAAAACCGTAAAATTAACTACAAATTTTCGAATAAGGGAAACCAAATAGACAAAAAATTATCTTATTTCGCTGCAGTCATAAAATGCTAAAAATTAGGTATTAAAATTAAGTTGTTGTTAAAAATGCGCTGTTATTAAAATTTCAGCAGTTAATCAAATTATTAAAAAATATTTCGACAACGTTAAAATAATAAGCTTAGACATTGTTAAATCCATGTTTTTTTCTAATTCGAATTGAATTTTAAAAGCTGACTTTTTCTCTTAAAAAAAAGGTGTTTTTTTGCTGAAGAAAACACAAAATGCCTCTACTTTTTGATACTTAAATCGTGGAAAAACATTTTTTTAAGTAACTTTCTTGAAAATTACTTTATTAATTTCTTAGATTGTCTAGTTTGTTGTTTTTTGGCATGTTTTAAAAATTAAAAAAATAATTTTAAGTTTTTTTACTGTACATAATTAGGTATTGTCACAGAAATTATTTGTTGGTTTAAGTAAATTTCTAAAATTAAGAGAAGAAAAGAACGTGAATCTTTTGATTAAAAAAAATTATTAACAACAAAAATCAGCTTAAAATATCACAAAAATACAAATTATGACTTAAAAATTTTTAAATATGAATCTGATATCTGCGCAAATTTTTGTACTCTCTTGTACTAAAAATAAAAATAAATAAATTATAAATGATAATAAGAAAATAAAATAACTAAAAACAAAATAAAAAAAATAATAAAAAACATAAAAAACGTCTGTATTGAAGTAATTAATCTAAAAAGACGGTGTTATTAATTAATTAATAATTATTAAAAAAAATGGCAAAACCAAAACAAAAATTAGGTGGAAATACCACAAAAACACAGATTATTACTCTTAAAAAACTTTGGATATGATTAGACCTGTGGAAATTTATGTAGGTACTAAAAGTTAAAAAAAATTATACATCATAATAATAATAAGAAAATTAAATATTGAAAAAAATTATTTAAAATAATATTTTGAAGTAATAATTATTCTATTTTCACTATATGGAACCAAACGTTTTTTGCTTAAACTATTTATTTTTGGAAAAACCAATTGATGAATGATAAAATATCATAAAAGCGCGATGATTTATCATTTATCAAGAACAAAATTTTTCGAATTTTTGTTTGCTTTTCAGTTCTATAAAATTTTTGATTTATTTAAATGTCACTATAAAACCATTTTTTTGAAGGTTATGATCTAAGGATTATAATTATCTGCTTTATATTTTTTTTACATAATAAGATGTAACTTTGATAAAAAAAAATGGCATATAACTTAAAAACAAAACAAAATTTCGTTCTCAAAATACGATCACTTTTTTATATTAGATACTCTAATTTATATTAATTATTATTTTCTGGAAACCAATGATTAAAAAAAACCGTTTGGTTCCATACTTTTTTTTCACCCAGTATTATTAAAGTAAAAAAATTGTTAACAACAAAATTTAGCTCAAAATTCCAAAAACTACACTTCAAAATCTTTAAATATGATTATCTGATAGTTGTGAAAATTTTTGTGCTCTCTTAATACAATTGTATTAAAAATAAAAATAAATTAAAAAAAATAAAAAACAAAATAAAATATTAAAAAATTATTGAAGTAATTAATCTAAAAAGATATTTTTTCTGTACAGAATATTATTCAAATTATTTGTTGTTTTAAAGTACATTTCTAAAATCAAGAAAACGTAAAACTCTTGATTTAAAAAAAAAATGTTAATAACGAAAATCATCTCAAAATATCACAAAAATACGAATTAATATTTATACTTAAAAAACTTTAAATGTGATTCGGAAAACCTGTGAATTTTTTTATCATTTCGAACTGTTTTTTTTTTCTTCAAATTTTATTACATTTTCTTGTTTTTTTGATAAACATTGTTATTTTATTGAAAAAATGACACTTTAAATCAGTTAATTTGGTATTTAGGGAGGCTTTGGCGAAGGGCTCTCGCAAGACTCGCCCGATTTTGGCCCACTCGAACGCAATCCGAAAAGACTCCGGCGCCCAAACGGACATTTCGGCCCTTCCGGGCTCATCCTGGCTCTCCGAGAGCAACTTAGCGAACAAAGTTTGTCCCTTATCATCACTTCTCTCTCCTATCTCACATTTTTTAGACTCGAGGAGGCGAACATTTCACAACTTTGCCCTCAAAATACCCTTTGCCAGGCTCAAGACTGCGTCTTTCGGAAAAAACAGTTGAGGCTCGTCGAGTTCTACTTTCCGATATTGGGTTCACTAGCATGGTTCCAGAGCTGTCTAGATCAGCCGATTATCTGTGCCCTGGCAACGTTAAACCACCAGTCACTTATGGGCAATTTCTGAAAACTAGCGATTTTCAGTCGCCGGGATTTACCGTAAGTTTGGCCAACATTGAAAAAAAATGATCAATTGGTTTCAGTCCCAGAAATTTACGTGGACGACCACTACAGCTACTCCAAGTGAAGGTAGCTACTCCCAATCCCGGTTTAATAGTTTCTATCCGTTATCCTCGCCCCCGATACCATCACGTCGGTGCTCCGCCCCTGTCTCCCCCTCACGACGAGCCCTCCTCAGGCCCACCCCCTCTAAAGTGAGGTTTGCTAATGGTTCATTACCCGAATTAAGAGGTGACTGGACCATGACTATAGACAGTGGCGATTCCACTGATAGTCTAGTCGAAGAAGCGGAAAATTACTTGCGACGTTCCATTGATTGTATTGTGACCACAAGGGATTATGGGTAATTAAAAAAATAAAAAAACACCACTTTTTTTAAATCAATTTCTAGAAACGAAAGTGGTAATAAGAAAAGTGTGCCTCGCCGAGCCTCAGCTCCGGAACCTTCCGGAGACAACGTCCCCCCTCAAGGTTGGCAACCGTTCCTCCCGCGGGTTCCACGTGACCTAAAACCGGACCATTGGGTTAAAGTCATCACTCCTGAAGGGCGGGTCAGAGGCGGTCGTGTCCGCTATATCGGGCCTGTGGTGTCCCAAAGCGACCAATTCGTGGGGGTGCAATTGGGGACCCCTGATGGTCACTCTGATGGTACTTTTAGTACCAGGAGGTATTTCCAATGCGAGCCCTACCATGGGATTTTCGTACCGTTCAAGAAGGTAATCATGGGTTGGAGGCCATAATAACGGGATCATTTATTTCTTCATGTGCCATGTTATTGTTTAAGCAATATATTGATTGAAATTAGGCCAATTTGTGTTCAATTGGGTTTATTATCGGAGACTCCAATCGCTTCCTATGACTAATGAAAAGACAGAGATGTGCCTTCGACCTCATTTATGGCTTAATTCGAGGAATTGTCGTTCTATCTCATCTGTTACTTATTTAAACTATAGTCGAATGTATTCTATAGCACTTAAACGGCACAGTAGCCGACTTATTCGACAAGTTCATAGTCGAACGTTAACTGTTAATTAGATATATTGTGTTTTTATTTAAGACCAAGAGATTAAGAGGCGGCCTAAATTGTTGAACTGTTAAAAAATGTGAAAAGGGTCAATTTTCGTATCTTTATCGCCGTTATAGAATCAGTATTACGACAAATGGTGTACAGGGCAAAGTAATAAATGAATAAACATATCTATGTCAAGGGTCTTTTATTTTTTGGTAAAGTAAGAAAGAGTGTAAAAATAACAGTTGCAATAAATACAGACGAGTAAAGAAAGAAGAAGAAAAAAAAGAGAAGAAAAGTAGTGAAGGAAGAGGAGGAAAATACAATTAATGTCCATGTCCATGCACCGGGAAGTCGGCGTACCACCCAAACGACCCATGCTCGCCCTTGTGGGCCCCAAAATCGACAGAATCGTGATGGTGGTGCCCCCCTGCTTGTCTCTGCGCCCTCAGGACGCTCTCGGCCTGATTTTCGGTGGGAACCGACATTGCGAATGATGCAATTATGCTCAAAACCAACAATCCTGCCAACTGAAATTATTTATTAGTCTGGTTAATTCACTTATTGGACACTTACCAGTTTCATCTTTGCGGCTTGACAAATCTGAATGCCGTTTGTTGTGAAATTTTCTATTTATATTAATAAGTTGTACTTTCACCGTTACCACAAAAAGCGTATTTTAATCGAAAATGTGTGCGTTGAGTGATCAAGTGTGAAACAGTTTTTTCGACCCGGGACGATATTGTTCAATGATTTTAGAAAATGTCGCTTTGTTTTGTGATAAATGGCCTAGAAAATTCACAATACCGATACATGAGGTTGTTAAACCCGGAACGCTTTCTTTTCGTATTCAAATTTGCCGCCTGAGTCGCAACAGTATTTTAGTGATAAAACCAAATTCCCCCGAACTTTCTTTCCATCCGTAAGTTGTCGGAAATCGAAACAAAATGGTGAGTTTTATTGTTTTAACCCATTTTTTGGCTGTTTTTCTTTTAAAATACCACGTTTTTTGGAGTTTATGGCACATTTGGTGCTTTGAGTTATAATTTTGCGGGGAAATTGTTATTGAAACGACATAACCTCATTTGTGACCTCATGGTTTCAGACTTGCAAGCGCCGCAATGGAGGACGCTCCAAGCACGGGCGTGGACACGTGAAGCCCGTCCGTTGCACCAACTGTGCCCGATGTGTCCCCAAAGACAAGGCCATCAAGAAGTTCGTTATTCGAAACATTGTTGAAGCCGCTGCTGTTAGAGACATCACCGAAGCTTCGGTCTACTCTCGTATGTTTAACCCCCCCAATTTTGAGTTATTTTAATCGTGGATTTGTAGAATATGTTCTCCCGAAATTGTACGCCAAGTTGCATTACTGTGTCTCGTGTGCCATTCACAGTAAAGTGGTGCGTAACAGGAGCAAGAAGGATCGTAGGATTCGAGTGCCCCCACAACGCAACTTCCCAGGACGTGACAATACGCGAGCCCAGCCTCCACAGAGGAAATAATTTGGTAATTTCTAATAAACGGGAAAAATCTTACTGAGTTGTTTATTTCTTCAGACATAAATTAATTAAAAATAATAAATTATTGCAAAACGCATTCAGGTAGCTGTGCTAATTATTTAGTTGTGTTATCGACCCTCTCCGGGCTTTTATCAAACGGCTTTTTCGAGTCTGAGAATCCTTGTTTGGTTTTCCCAAAGGAGTTGGGGCCCGAGGACGTCGGGGTATCCCTGCAAGCTCAATTCAAGCCCCCATTTCGGCAAGAATTCATACGCACCGTCCGATATTTCTCATCCTCATTCGGGCTTCTGGCGGCATTTCCTCGGGCTCCTCGTCACTTTCTTGGTTAAAAGCTGCCGCGATGGTCAGTTTGGGCTTCGCGGTTTGCTTTTGTGAACTCAATTTCATTTGAATTCCCATGGTTTTTAACCTTTTCTTAGCATCAAGCGACACATTTTCCGGCCTTCTGTGGGGCGATCTGGATCTGTCTCGAGATTGATCTTTGCCTAACAAACACTGACAAATTTAAAAATTTCAATTAAAACGCTGAGACAATTATTTCAAAAGTGAGGTTATGTCAGCTGTGACAGTTTACCGTGATCGTTGAATTTGTCCCCTTTTTTGTCGCTCATCGCCACAAATCCGACCACTGAAACTGTTATTTTACCACGCTTTCACGAATTTCTCCTATTTTTAGTCAAAAGATCCATTTTTTGTGCGGGATTTAGGGATTTTACATAATGAAGTGACAGGCATGCAGTGTTGCCAGCTCTAAAACACAAGAGTTTTTTTTGATTTCCAAAACATCACTAAGTTTTAGAATTTTTTCAAAAGTTTCTCTTCCACAAACAGGAAATAGTAATAAAAATGCCTTTCTGAAAACGCGCTGTTTGAATACTGTTGTATTTGGTTTACGTATTGTGTTTTTAATTGAAAAAATTAAATTTGTTTGGTGTAACTCTGTCTTGGACCCAAAAGTTAGGGAGCAACAAAATTTCCCTCCATGGTTTAATACTAAGTTCACCAAATCTGGTGAAATATCACTAGACGTGGCAACGTTGCAGGCATGTGACATGTAGATATTGTTGGCGCGAAATTTTGACTTTTTTATTGTCAAATTTTTAGTTGTCTTATTTTCCAAATCATAGTGTTTTTAAACAACATAAAAATGTTTCTTGTGCGAAGTTTTATTCTTCTTTTAGCCGCAGTGGTGGCAACGTGAGTGGTTTTGCAATTTTTTAGCAATTCCTATTTTTTTTTCCAAAAGTTGTCACGTGGAACCGATTGTGCTGGTCCATGGGGGCGCCGACACGGTCCACCCCCTGCGAGTGGAAAAAAGAAAAGAAGGGGTGAAGAACGCCGCAATGGGTGGCTATAAAATCCTGAAAAAAGGGGGCAGCGTTGTCGATGCTGTCGAAGAAGCTGTAAAAATTATGGAAGAGGATGTTAAGTTCAACGCTGGTGCTTATTTCCCCCCTTTTCCACTCTTTTTTCTCATTTTTCTTAGGTTACGGGTCGGCGTTAAACAGCGAAGGGGACATAGAAATGGACGCTTGTATTATGGTGGGGTCAAATTTAACATCCGGGGGGGTCACTGTTGTCAAAAACGTGGCTCACCCTGTGAGTTTGGCCCGCTTGGTGATGGAAAAATCGCCCCACTTTCTCCTCGCCGGCGAGGGTGCGAAAAAATTTGCCAAGCAGCACAATGTCCCCTTTGTGCCCCTCGCCAGTCTAATGGCGGAGCACTCAAAACAAGATTTTGACGAATACCAAAAAAACCCACGTAAGGATGATTTGGAAATGGGAGGGTGTGGGGGCGTCGGGGCTATCGCCGTCGACGCCCATGGACGCGTCGCTGCAGCGTCGTCCACAGGGGGACGACTTGCAAAACTCCCGGGAAGAAGCAGCGCCGCTGCTATTGTCGGAGCTGGACTTTATGCCGACGATGAGGTCGGGGCGGCGGTAGTGACAGGTGGGGAATTACCTCAGTGTTGCCAGGTTCAAGAAAATAATAATCACCAGATCCAAGTTAAAGAAAGTTGCCAAATTACACTATTTTGCAAAATAGTATATTAAAGAACGCATTTTGTAAGACAAACGTTTTGTAGCGAAGCGCGAGTTTTATAAAAAACGAGTTCCCACAAATGACTTGTGAAATTAATTTTTTCATACTATTTTTTCTATTTTACGTAGATACTTTTTTAGCATAAAAGTCGTTTTTTTAAAACTGAGGAACATTGCCCTAATAAGGTGGTGGTTGGTAATAAATGTCACGAAGTTTGAAAATATCGATTATTGAAGTGTCAAGTCTCGAGTATTTTTCAAAATTTTGTTGGAATAGTGAAAATATTTTATGCACACCACCTGAAATAAGAGAAATCGCTCAAAACGCCGCTGAAAATTACCATTACCAACCTCTAGAAAGTAAATTGTACTAGTCTATTTCAGCACCCGATTTAGTGTTAAAATAAATGGCTCATTAAAGCATTGGTTTTGGCATCGAAATAAGCTTTCTTTCAGACGCAAAAGAGAAAAATACGATTGAAATCTTTCCAATAATGGCAAAAGCTTACAAATGACATTTCTAGCTGAAAAACGTGGTAATTTTCAGCTTAAATTGTTAACTTTGGTTTGTTTCAGTGAAACCTGAAACCGAGATTTTGATTTAAAAAAAACGTGTTTGAAATTATTTTCAACTACATTTAGTAGTTTCTCGACATATTTTTTTCTTAATTTTGCTCAAAAAAACAGTTAAATCGAATGAATCAAACGAAATAAGATTTCAATTTTTTTGAGATTTTTAAGCGTGTTTGAACAAGATTTTGCAAAATAAGTTTGCCTTCGGTTCAAAAACGTTTTAAGTCAAGCAAAACAAACTAAAAAAATATCACTCTCAATTTAATTTTCTGATTTTTTAGTCTGTTTAAACGAAATTTTTCAATTAATTTTTTGTCTTTATCTCAAAAACGTGCTTAAACATTCAAAAACCGCAAAAACAACACCATTTTTAGCCCACCTTGTTAAATTTTTCGCTTGTTGTAATTTTGTGTTTCTTGCTGAAAAAAATGTGGCAAAAAAGGAAAAAAGGCAAAAAATGACATCATTTTCGGGCCAATCAGTGATTTTTCGGCTTTTTTTTGACAAAATTTTACAAAAAAAAGTGGAATTTCTAGCTCAAAACCGTGCTAATTTGTTGACTTTTTGCTTTATTCTATCAAAATTGCGCAAAAATCCTGAAGATTTTGGTAAAAAAAGTGTTAACAGAATTGTTGACCAAATATTATGGTTTCTAGGATAATTTTTTTGCAATTTTTAAGCATGTTTCAACAATATTTTGCAAAATAAGTTCGTAATTTTTTAGTCTGTTTAGGTAAACGAAAATTTTTTTGTCTTTATTTTAAAACGTGCTTAAACACCCAAAAACCGCAAAAATAATATGTACCATTTTTAGCCCTCTTGTTAAATTTTTCGCTTGTTAAAGAAATATTACAAAATAATTTTGTTTCTAACTGAAAAAAATGTGCAAATAAGTACTCGAAAAAGACAAAAATGACATCATTTTTGGGCCAGTCAGTGATTTTTCGGCTTGTTTTTAACAAAATTTTGCGTAAAAATGGCAAAAACATGCTAATTTGTTGACTTTTTGCTTTGTTCTAGCAAAATTTTGCAAAAAAACGTTAGATTTTGGTGTGTTAAAAACTATTATCGTCCAATTGTTGTTGTCTCTAGGCTTGTATTTTCTTAATTTTATTCAAAAACCTTTTAAATCGAGTAAACCAAACAAGATAACATCAGTACCAATTCTTTTAAGATTTTTAGGTGTGTTTGAACCAGATTTTTAGCCTTTGGTTTAAAACGGCGCAAAACAAGCTAAAATAATATCAATCTCGATTTAATTTTGTAATTTTTTTGTTTTTATTACAAAAACGTGGTTAAACACTCAAAAAACGCGGAAATAACACGATTTTCAACCTACTTTATTGAACTTTTTGTTTATTTTCATCAAAATTATGCGAAATAATGTGTTTTTAGCTGAAAAATGTACCTAAATCTCGTAAAAACCAAATAGACCTAATTTAATAATTTGGTGATTTTTCGATATTTTTTAAGAAAATTGGGCGAAATAATCACGTTTCTTCTTGAAAAACGTGGAAAATGCTCGAGAAAGATGCAAAAATAATATCATTTATTTTTGACTTTTTTTTCATTTCCAAAAATATCACTTAAAATTAAAATTGACAAAAGTTTCCACCAAGTCACTAAGCATGAAAACCACCAGATTCGGTAAAATTTCACCAGACCTGGCAACACTGCCTCACTCATCGCTACGCTTGCTCCAGTTTTTCATTTAAGTTTAAATTTAATTACGTTAATTTAAGGCACGGGGGAAAGCATCGCTCGGTATGTGTTGGCACACGAAATCATCAATTTAATGACGAGGGGTTTCGATGCCGGGGTTGCGACGAGAAATGCCGTCAAGGGGATAACAACAAGATTTCGAAAACCGACAGGTTTGGCGGTTTTTCCCCCACTGATTGTATTAATTAAACGTTTTAGGGGCGATCACAGTGTCTAAAAATGGCCAAGTTGGTATTAGTTTCACGACTGATAAGATGGCATGGGCTTATCAAGTGCGCGACGACGTGCATTATGGTCTAGACGATTACGATCATTTCAGCGAAAAAATAAAACTCTAACAAGCAACAAAAACAATTTTTATTTATTTATTCAAATCAATATCATTGCTTTCATGTCGTAATACACGGAATTACAGTTAACTAAACCAGTTCTACTCAGATTTCCCGAGACCTTGTCTAGTAAGACACACAATTCGAGTGGCATGGAGTATTTTGTTCTAATTTTAGGTCTATCACTATTTACACAGATTAGGTCAGTGTTTATTTTAGCTTCACAAATGATAAGATTTTTTATTTAAAGCGAATCAAATTGTTTAAGGTGCAAAATGGAGCCGATTGTCCTCGTCCATGGCGGCGCCGGTGACATCCCCGATTCCCGGGTTTCCCTCAAAATAGCCGGAGTGAAAAAAGCCGCATCTTTGGGCTACAAAATTTTGAAAAATGGCGGGAGCGTCGTCGACGCCGTTGAAGAAGCCGTCAAATCAATGGAAGACGATGAAGCTTTCAATGCCGGTAAAAAAACTTTAATTTAACCTAAAATAACCCAAAAATCCCCAGGTTATGGTTCCGTTTTAAATCTCGACGGTGACGTAGAAATGGACGCTTCAATCATGATTGGTTCAAATCTAAACTCAGGGGGCGTAACAGTCGTCAAAGACATTGCCCATCCCATTTCCCTGGCTCGTCTTGTCATGGAAAAAACCCCCCACTTTCTATTGGCCGGTGAGGGGGCCAATCGCTTTGCCAAAGAACAAGGCATTCTTCCGGTCCCTCCCGGAAGTTTGGTTTCAAAATACGCAAAAGAAGCGTTGGAAATGTTTAAAAAATACGGCGATAATGGCACCGAGATGAGTGGAGGGGGGGAGGTGGGGACAGTAGGGGCGGTGGCAATTGATTCAAAGGGGCGATTGGCTGCTGCCACGTCCACGGGCGGGATTACGGGGAAAATGGTGGGGAGGAGTAGCGATACCTGTATTATTGGCAGCGGTACTTATGCTGATGATAACGTGGGGGCTGTTTCCACCACAGGACATGGGGAAAGCATCGCCAGATTCTGTCTTGCTCATTCTATTATTTATGAAATGAGAAATGGGTCAAGTGCAAGTGAGGCCACAACAAAAGCGCTGAAAGAGATGAAACAGAGGCTGCCCAACACTGCGGGGGCTATCACTATTTCGAAAAGTGGCGAGTTGGGAATTGATTTTACGAGTAGGAGGATGGCGTGGGCCTATCAAGTCAAGGACGAGATGCATTTTGGGATCGAACACGGGCAACACACCAAAGAAAAGATTAATTAGTGGTTAAGAACAACTGTACTTAGAATCGATTAGAAATAAAACACTTCAATTGAGATTTTTAAAGTTACCGCCAATTTACACTTAAACGCCATTAGAGGGCGCACTCATATTAAAATGCCCCCAAAAAAAATAATAGGCATACATGTGACCACAATTTAAGTTGTTATTGAAGAAAATTGGAATAAAGCAGTGGGGAAATTGTGAAAATTGTGAATTTTCCCGGAGTGGTAGTGGTTTTGCGTTTGTCAGGTTGGCGCACTTTTGGTGTGGTGGTGGCGTCGCCATTTTGCGTTTTGTGTTCGTCAAATTGAGCACTTCGTTGGTGTGAAAATCCGTGAAAAAAGTGAGAATTTTGAGCACGATGACGGCCCACGACCAAATGCGGGCCATGTTGGACCAGTTGATGGGCACTGGACGTAACGGTGAGTGGTTTTTCCGTGGAAAACCGTCCATCGATTTTCCCAATTTCGTCCTTGTTAATTATGGACATATTGCAGGTGAAACGACAAAGTACCAAGTGAAATTTAACGACCCAAAGGTGTGCAAGTCGTTCTTGCTTGGGTGCTGTCCCCATGAGATTCTCACGTCAACGGTAAGCCAGTTTCTGATTGCGAAATCTCGAAAAACCGTTGAGTTTCGGCACAATTTTAGCGAGCCTTTTTTTCATTGATTTGATCTAAAGAGAAATGTGTTCGGTCAACTAATTTTCGCACTGTATTTTCAGAAACTACAATTTTCTATATAATGATGAGGAAATAGGTGTTAGTTTTGTATGTAAGTACTATGACGTACGTATAAAATTAAGAATTTATTAGGTTAATGTTTGGTAACTTGCGGCGGCAATTTGGGTCAAGAGACCCGATTTCCGCGCCAGTTTCGCGTTTTTGGTAAGTAAAGAGGGTTAAAGTACAAGCTGCATGTACTACATACAAAACCGTTAATTAAGGATATAGTGAGTATTTAAAAAACGAAAAAATTGTAAAATTTGCTCAAGACCGATGCTGGCTTTTTCGTGAGTATTAACAGTTTTTGGATCTTAGCCGATCTAATCATCAAAATTGGTGCGTTTATTGATTTTAAACGGATATTCGGGCTACGCTTTAGGAATTAATATTCATAAAGGAAATTACCATAATTGTAAGTTCACTTATATTTATTTTATCAAAGTCATAGGGCCTTCCACAATCCCAATTCGCCACAAATCAATTAAACCAGACGTGAATTGTGATTGTTGAAACGTGCGCCCCATTATTGTGTAGACAACCAATTTTTGGGCTGTGATAGTTGTTGTTTAATGTTAAAAATCAACAAAAACAGAATTCTTTCCATCAAATAGGATTTAGCCCTTTTGTAGTGCCACCGAGAGACTAATTTCGTTTGTTAATAGCGCATGGACTTGGGGGAATGCCCGAGAATCCATGATTTGGCTTTGCGGGCCGACTTTGAGAAGGCCCAACAAACCAAGGATTATTTCTACGATTTGGACGTAAGTACCAACTACGGATACCTAAAGACTAGGATACGAAACGATGTAAAACAAGTTTTTCCCGTTTAAGTTTTAAGAGCAATGAAATAAAAAAATGGCTGTATTTACATAATGGTGAGCAAAACGCAAATAAGAAAATAAAGACATATAGAGCATTTAATTCTTAATAAAAAGAGATAAAGGCAATGCAGAAATTTTATTGAAAACTATATTTAAAAAAATTTCAAACATTTAGCAATTTGCGCCTCGTCTCATATTTTTGAAAATGCTGCGAATACGGTTAATGATACAAGAAAAATATAAAAAAGAAAGTTGTAGAGAATAAAATTTCCAAGAAAAAAGTCCCAGAGATGATGCCTCTATCTTCAATGGTTTAGGTCCGTTCAAAAACGCTCAAGCCTTGAAATCGGGTCATTTTTACTGGTGGTCGAGAGACAGAAAATTAATTTAAACCTAAATGGTTGAAGATAGAGATATGGTCTCCCGGACTTTTTTGTGGGAAATTTAATTCTCGACAACTTTGTTCCCTACACTTTTTTTTGTATCTTCAACTGTATTCGCAGCGTTTTCAAAAATACCGAAAACAGTATTAAAAAGAAATTATAAACAATTATCAGTTTGCGTTCCGCCCAATATTTTTAAGAACGTTGGGAATATGGTTAAAGATACAGTGCGATCAAAAAGTCTTTCTATCAAGTAGGCGTCTTAGTTGAGGACGTATGTTGCATGGCAGTTCGTATGTTATCTAGATGTCAAAAAATTATTTTATAAAAATTAAAACATTGAGCTAATTAAATGGAATTATTCTATGAAACGTTTCAAAACAAACTAAAATAAGATTTTGTTGGTGTTTATTCATAAAAATCGTTCACCACGGTTTCCTGTAATAATTTACATAAAAAATATTTTGACATTTCTCATTGTGACATTTTATCTTCCACAGACATACGTTTTAAATTTCTACGCTGTCGCGGACTTTTTACTAGAAAATTTTATTTTCTACAACTTTCTTTGCTACATTTTTCTTGTATTTTTAACCGTATTCGCAGCATTTTGAAAAACATGAAGCGGAGCACAGATTTTAAATATTTTTTTTTCTCATATTTCTCGTGAAAAATTTAATCGTTTATTTTTCACAGCTTATTAACAATATAAATCTCAACAGTTTTGCATTTTTTTCCAAGCAATTAGTAAAGTGGTTGAATTTAAATTAATTAAAAACGATTTGAAACTGAGATGGTAAAACGCTCTAAGCGCCCTCATTTTTACTCCGCCGTACTAGTTTTTTTGGGCCCAGAAAATCAAGCAATTTTGTATCTCGTTTCGTCTCCTAGTATACAGGGTGCGCCAGAACTCGTGCTACAGAGGAAAATGCCATATAAAGTAAGATACCAGGAACATGGAAAAAATGTTAAAAAATTTATCTATAAAAATTTCGAAGTTAAGAGGGTTTAAAGTTTGCACTTTGACTATTTATTTCTGTTAGGAAAATAATTTTCCAAGTTTTTTTGCTATAGGCTATTAAAAGAGGAAACAAGGAAGCTGTAGCCTAAATTGTAACTCTGTTATTTGTGGCTTTTATTGCCAAAATTTTGGTACCTTTACTAAATAATTTAAAAAAACATATACAAGATCATCATCAGTATCATTAAGTAGACAAAAAAATGTCAAATGTCAAAATTTTTTGACAGAATTTTTTAAACATTTTTTTCATGTTCCTGGTATCTATCTTATCTTACTTGAATTTTTTCTCTGGGGCGCGAGTTCTGGCGCACCTGTATAGTTCTCCGTAGTACCAACACAAGTTGAAATTTGTACTAACTGATTTTTTAAGGCAATGGAACACCTGCAAGCTTTCATCACCGACTGCGACCGCCGCACCGAGGCCGCCAAGCAGCGTCTCGCCGAAACCCAAGAAGAATTATCGGCGGAAGTGGCCGTTAAAGCCAACAGCGTGCACGAATTGGCCGAACAAATCGGGCAAAAGCTCGCCAAAGCCGAGCAACTCGGCGAAGAGGGCTTCGTGGACGAAAGCATGAAACTCATGGAGGAAGTGGACGAATTGAGGAAACGAAAACTGGAAGCTGAGCAAGAATACCGCAACTCGATGCCGGCAAGCAGCTACCAGCAGCAGAAATTACGCGTTTGCGAAGTCTGTTCGGCTTATCTCGGCATCCATGATAACGATCGACGTCTCGCTGACCATTTCGGAGGGAAACTGCATCTTGGGTTTATCAAGATTCGGGAAAAATTGGCGGAGCTTGAAGTAAGAATCTTGAAATTTTTGATCAGATCTGAGTGTTTTATTTTTTAGAAAAATGCGGAGAAGCGGAAGGAGGAAAAGCGCAAGACTGCGCGGGATAGAGACCGTGATGATAGGGATGACAGGTACAGGGAGAGACACCGTGAGCAGTATGTCGGGGGGCGCGAGCTGGACCGCAGGTCAAAGAGACACCGCTCCCGGTCCAGGGATAGGAAAGAGAGGGAGAGGAGTGACAGGGATCGGGATAACAGGTCTCGGTCGCATCGTTCAAGGTCCAGGAGTCGGGAACGCCGCTCACACTCGCGTCATTCAAGTTCAAGCGACAAGAGAAGAGACCGCGACCGGGATTAAATTGTTTTAAGTAATATATTTTTGTAATATATTATTTTAGTGCAAAGTAGATGTAAGTTGTGGTTCACTGGATGATGTATTGAAAAAAGTTTTTGCTTTTTAATTATTATTGGAATTAGTTCAATAAAGTTTACAAGTGAAGCTAGGGAGTTTAAGTGTGGACCTCAGGGGCTTGCCTGTTGCTTTTGGTCTGTGTACGCATTCTTTTAGTGGAAAGTCGTTCCCGAGTTGCTTTTTCAAGTCTGGAAGGAAATAACATCACTACGTATTTGGTGAAAATGAAAAATAGAAAAAGTACCGTCGTCGGATTTTTTCAGCTGTCTCCTCTGATGGTTTATTATCCTCTATTATGCAACTCCGAACTGAAGCTCTAATTTTCTCTAAACAATCCGCTAAGTTGAGTTGTTGCGACCGTGTCAGTTCGGAGCGAAATATAACAAAACCTTCTTTGGTAATTTTATTTTTAAACTGAAACTTTTTTATTACTGTTGTATTTTTCAAAATAAAGCGCAAACCTTTTCCAACATTTGTGCTTTGATTTCATCGTTAATCCAAGTCGCAGAATTTACATGAAATCTGACTTCTACTTTTGTATTAACTTTGTTAACGTGCTGGCCCCCAGGGCCTGTACTTTTGGTGTATGAAATATCTAACTGGTCTATTGGGACATAACCCGTGAATTTCTCATCTTCATTGGGGGGCTGAAAATGTTTTTCAATTTTTAACCACACTCATAATGAAATCTACCTTTAGGGGGGTTGTCAGCTTTAGGGAACTATTTGGATATAAATTTTGCAACGAAAGTGCACTTTTGTAGGCCGACGTTGAATATAACCGATTTATGGGCACTTGGCCTATGATTTTCACAAAATTACGACTCATTTTTGTGAAATAAAAGATAGGTTAGGGTCTGCCAGGACTGCCAACCCTCGAAAAAAATAACATGGAAAAATCTATTTTTAAACCGATTTAAAAATAGATTCGCTGTTTATTTGCATTCTTGGGGCTACGATAACAAAATGAGAGAGATTTAACTTGTTTTAATTACGTTTTCGGGTAATTGGGCGGTGCCATAACCTCACTTTTTATTCTCACGCGAGGACCCCTAAATATGTATGTTTGACGATTTTACTTATCAAATGTAATTAAAATGTCTGCACGATTCATAAACAAACAATGTGGTCGACGGCTTTTATTCGGTTTATTCGACGACGCGTAATCCTAGGCCTAATTCTCACCGTTTCCCTATTGTACTGCATTCTAAGTTATGTGAGCAAGGTGAGTGTCTCAGTTTTACCCCCCGAATCCCCAAGCTGTCTTTTAGGGTGACTTCCTCGACACTGACGAGGTGGTGCCAATCCGGCGCACCCAACCCTTCATTTGGCGCACCCTCCAGCAACACAATTCCACGTCAAATGATGCCGAAACATGCCGCAATTCCATACAAGGCAAAGTCTTAATAGTCGACGACAGGGGCTTCGTGTGCCCCCGACATGAAATTTTGCATTCAGGGTGTTGTAATGACACCCCACAGACCAGTCCTCAGTATTCCTGCGACACTTGCAAGAGTAACAATTGCTGCGCTATTTACGAATTCTGCATATCCTGCTGTTTACACCCTGATAAAGTGAGTCGAGTTGTGGCCCCCCTATCAAATTTAAATTCGTTTAATTTCAGAAAGAAATGTTGGAAAACCTACTAGGGAAAGCAACTGAGCAAAACAACGTTCTATTCGCGTCAGTTACTGACCATTTCGAGCTGTGTTTAGCCAAATGTCGGACCAATTCCCAAAGTGTGCAACACGAGAATTCGTACAAAGACCCCAAAGCTAAACACTGCTATGGGGAGCTGGCCCCGGGCACTCACAGCATTGAAAACGAAGTTTAGTTCTACTAATACACCGGCTTTGTATTATTTGTGATAACTATTATGATTAATAAAGATTTTATTTCCATTACATTGGGTGTTTCACTCAAAAATTGACTCCATTACTTTTATTTCAAATTAAGATACAATCAACCTTAACTAATATAATACAAATTCAGAAACTAACCTAACGCGAATAATCTAATTGCCTTAAGTATAAATAGCATAAATCTCGGTTTTACAATGACATCACCCAACAACATTACAATACATACGTCATACAATTAATCATATTTGAGTTTAGGAGTTTACACACAAGTGTGAAATTAGTGAAATGAATCCATGACAATTGTACTATTTTTGTCTAGAATAAAATAAATAATTTCCCGATTACAAAAAATATAATTACTTTTGAAGGTAACATTTAATTAAGATCTGCAGGTGGTGGTGGTGGTGACCCTGACACCGTCTTCACATTTTTGCTCTTCCTGACATTTTGGGCTTGACCTGGGGGACTATAAGGAGTCCTAGCTGACGACAACGAGCTGCAAACACTCACATTAAAACCCCGTCAAAAACTGATCAAAAAATGAGTTACATAATGAGAAGCACTACTGTTAAAAAGAAACCGACTTACTTTGTGACAATTCGCGAATTCTTATTTACATTCTAATACTGAAGTGAATACCTGTAAGACACCAAAATCCCATGAATTTCAGAATAAAACCAATGAGAGAAAAATGATTGATTGATTGATGGTTGATGATTGAAAATTTTGCAATCTGACCTACCTAGCCGACGATTGGGGCACAGTTAACGGCGACGATCTTATACTTCTACGAGGGGAGACCAAGGGGGCTGACTGTCTTTGCCGACGTCTACTACATGCGTACATTTAACACAACATTGAAACGAGGAAAGTGCATAAAAGCGAGTGAACCAGCACCTAATGTGCTAATAATAAAACTTTACCTGGGCCCTCCAGTGATAGCCAGCACTCCTGGATTCCCATACGCATGTCTATTCCTCACACTTCCTGAACTGATCCTCGGGATCTCCGAGCGACTCCTAGTCTTAGTCTCCCATTCCTTGTTAAAATCCTCGGCTTCCTCCTCATCCAAATTGATGAAATCTTGTCTTTCCTCGCGGTCGCCAGTGTGCATGTTTTGCTCTTTTTCTATGATGTGGGCCCGCTCGCCGATGTGGTGCCCGATTGCCATTTTCTTGGTCCCCGATCTGGTGTCAGTGACTGTCTTTTGTGTCTCTTTGATGCCCCCAGGGGCCGTGCGTGTGCTCGAGGTGGCTTTGTACACTTGGGGGCGGCCGTCGGGCCCCGATGACATGCTAACCACAGTACTGGAACTGTAACTGTGCGCCGCGAGGGAGTCCAATGAGCCGCTCAACAGCCGGTTGAAATTTGGCATAATTGGCATTGAGAAAGGCATAAGGGAGTTGCTCATACGGGGGCCGCGCTCGAAATCCCCGAAACCCATCGAGAATGGGTCGGAAAAGAAGGAATTCATCATGGTGTTCATCTGGCGCATCATATTCATATGGGAGCTGAAAAATTTTTCACTGTGATTTCTAGAACAGCATGGCGGATTGTTTATGGGTTTTTGGCGGTGAATTACAACAACACCCTGAGGGGAACTTACCCGAAAAACGGATCCTCATCAATATCGCCCATTAATGAGCCGAAGAGAGACATTATTGAGGGGGTTTTAACACTTTTATCGCCAATAATTCACAAAACACTGGAGGTGTACAACACAGAACAGAGAGAACAAGAAATGAAATCTCCCTAGAAAATCACTGACAACACGAGCCTCTGGTGGTCAAGTGCGTTACTAACACGGAATGGCGCGGCATTTAAATAGACCGCCTTCATTTTCAATTATTATTATTAWCTTGCAAGTTTGATTTCAAATTTTGTTTAAAATAAAAATTACAAAATTTTCATTTTAAACAAAATTTGAAATGAAACTTGCCATTATTAAATTGTTTCAAGGTAATAAAACAAATTTTTTGTTAAACTTTTTTATTGTAAACTATCAATAACAAAACAATACAACAAATCAAATTTCTCTGAAAATTAAATTATTATTAACGTATTATTATCTATAAAATCAGTCAGTGTTGGCATGTTTTCTGCTCCAGACAGGCAAAACATGCCAAATCTGCCCTTGAAAGTCTCATTTTGTTTAAAATGCCATTCTTGTCACCTTCATTCAAGAAAGCAAACTTTTTGCACCTCCCAGTGATTGCATTAGTACCCTGACAATAATTATGGTCTTGTTGAACATTCTCGTTGCTTATTATTTCATTGTTTGCAAAAAGAGGAAGTGGATGAGCAAAACATATTGCATTGGATGTTGAAGGCAAATTGCAAGTACAAGACGAATGATTTATTGAATTTTCCACAAAACTATCATCTGCCACAGAAAGATTTGTTTGTGAAATGTCAACAAACTTCTCTTGTGAAGCCAAAACACAGGGCTTGGGAATTACATTTGGATTTAATCTATCCTTCCTCTCATTCACAAAATCGCGGCCTTCAAAATGATCCTCACATAAACGCCAAAACTTTGAACTTACGGAACCTTCAATTTTGCAGGCATTCCTCCACAATTCGTGAAGCTTTGGGTTTTTAGGGAACGTGAAGAAGTGCTTGTTGGCATGTCCTTCAASGGGGTTCGGCACGTATTCACTGGTGCAGCCAGGGTACTTGCAGAAATATTTTCGATAACCAGCCATGACAAAAGTTTACTTGAGTAGCAGAAATCAAAAATCCGTCACTCCAGCCGAAAGGACGATTCCTCAAAAAGACGAAGTTTCACCGAGTGAAAAGATACTTATCTTTTAATTGGCTTCCAACAGCACGAATTCACTCACCGACAGACTACTGTAATCGAAATTTTATGGTTTTGTTTAAGTAATAAAACAAATAATTGCTGAATACTTACGATAACACGCGACAACACACAACAACAAAAGTTTGGCACTTTTTGCGCAAACGTAAATGTCATTTTTATGTCAAAAAACAGAAATTCATAAAATCCCTAAATATTACGCGCTTGTTTTAAAATACTCAACCTTATTGGTTGTTCCTTTTCACCTCTCTTTAAGTGTAAAATACCCCTCGCCCATACTCTCGTGTTGCCAATGCGCCTATCTCAGCTTCATACCCGTGGTTAGAAGAGTACTTGAGTGCCACCCACAGGTTTTACCATTACCAACATCTAGAAAGTAAATTTACTAGTTCATTTCAGCACTCGAATTGGTGTTGAATGGCTCATTAAAGCATTGGTTTTGGTATCGAAATAAGCTTTTTTTTAGACACAAACTAGAAAAAATTAATAACAAAACCCAATTTAATTTATTTTAGTATTTTTGAAACGTCGTCGATAAGACAGAGTCCGCCGTTACCGGCCACGTTTCTGATCAAAATAATTTTCTAAACAGTTTAAAATCGTGTCCAATTTGATTTTGCTCTTTACAAGTTTACGTTTTCGGTTTTTGTCAATTTTATTACCCCCTGATAACACTTAATCCAATCAGAGCAAGTCCGGTTAGGTTGTGTTGACGTGTTCCTGTCATCTGATTGTCAATCATAAAATAAGTTCAAGCCACGTTGGATGTCTCTCCTTTAACCGTTAGTGTTTTTACGTGTTTAAACATGAAAGTGAAGGATGTGGAACGCACTGCGAACGTGGCGTGGTCCCCCAAGAACCAGAGCCCCATTCTCCTCGCAGCCGGGACAGCCGCCCAACAACTGGACGCCTCTTTCAACACCAATGCCACATTGGAGATCTACTCCCTTAATTTGGGGGAATTGGGTCCCGATATGGTCCTCAAAGCCACAGCGACGAGCGAGCAACGCTTCTATAAAATCATATGGGGGGCCTATGAGAGTCACGGGACCATCGTGGGCGGGTGCGATGGGGGCTTGGTGCAGATTTACAACGCGTCCAAGTTGGTAAATGGGGAGAATGGGTTGGTTTGTCGCCAGAATAAGCACACAGGGCCGGTGCATGCCCTCGATTTTAATCCCTTTCAACAGAATTTGTTTGCAACAGGGGCTGGGGAATCGGAGATTTTCATCTGGGATTTGAACAATACTAACACACCCATGAGTCCTGGTGAGTTATTTAAGGGTTTTGGGTTGTTTTAATTGGGGTTTTAAGGGTCAAAATCGCAACCTTTGGAAGATGTTCTGGCTGTTTCATGGAATCGACAAGTGCAGCATATTTTAGCGTCAACTTTTGCCTCAAAGTGTGTCATTTGGGATTTGAGGAAGAACGAACCCATTATTAAATTAACAGACACCGTTTCGAGGGTGCGGTGGAAAATGATTGCATGGCACCCTGAAGTGGCCACTCAGCTGTGTCTGGCTTCTGGTACCAAAACCACAATTTTTGTGCATAATTTTTAACAAATTTCTTAGAGGAGGACCACTCGCCCATTATCCAATTATGGGACTTACGTTTTGCCACCTCACCTCTTAAAACACTCGAAAATCACCAACGAGGGGTCCTATCAGTGGCGTGGTGTTCCGATGATCCCGATTTATTAGTCAGTTGTGGTAAAGACAATCGTATTATTGCCTGGAACCCAAATTCGAATGAACCAAACGGGGAGGTTCTCTCCGAAATTGCTAAAACGAATCAATGGACTTTCGATGTTCAGTGGTGTCCGAGAAATCCGGCCATTATTGCATGTCCCAGTTTTGATGGGCATGTCTCGATTTATTCTTTGATGGGGGGCAAAACCCAACAGATCCAAACTACGGATAAAATCGCTGATAGTTTTCCAGGAATGGAGGGTTATGTTCAAGCTCCGATTTTGCAACAAAGTTCAGCGCCGGTCAGTGTGGATCTTAGTAGGCCTCCGAAGTGGCTGAAGCGACCCGTGGGGGCCCGATTTGGGGTAAATACACCTTTTTCAAGCGAAAATTGTAATTCAGATTAGTCAATTGTATTTTAGAAAGTATTAATTGTAATTCATTGCATTTAATTTAGAATAGGAAATTCAATTTTATGTAATTCAGAAAATATCAATTGTAATTCATATGAGTTACTATTATCTCATCAACACGAATTATTTCATTTTCAAAATTAGAGAATTTTGGAATAAGGGATTTTGATGATGTAATTTTTAACTCTGAATTACAATTAATTAATTTCTGAAATACAATTGACTAATCTGAATATTGATTTACGCTTTCTGAAATTAAATTTTAACTAATCTGAATTACATCTAATGGTTTCCTAAATTCATTTTACTGTTCTTAATTACAATTAACACTCTCAGAAATACAATTGACTAATCTGATTTTTTTTTTAAATATACAAGATGTCTCAGTGAGTTTGTAAAGTTCATCATTCACTTTTAACTATTAAAAATTGGAACAAAAAAGAGATAAAACGTTTTTGGATCGAGTTTCAAAATTATATTTTTCTACAATCATGAAAAAAGTTGAACTTTTTACATTGAAATTAATACACGAAATTCGTCATCTGTTGAGTCCTAGGTCAAAACGGTTTGTACAGGGGTATTCTTCGGTCAATTTTACATAAGTACTAATTTATTATAAGAATCAAAAATTTTTGATTTTTTGGTCAAAATCCGATATATAGTGCTTATGTTTCTAGCCCTATCTTAACTTTATTACTCAATATCTYAAAAACTATGCATCGTAGAGTATTTTAACTTGTTGCATCGTGTTCAGCGCGTAATTTTACGTCTAAAAATCATATTTCAAGCGTTTTTACGACTTAAGGTAAATTGACTATTTTTAGGATTTTACTACCGTTTCCCTTGAAAAATTCAAAAAATTCAAAATTTTTGAAAGTTGACCCCATAACATTTTATGCACTTATTTGAGTCTATAAGACCTCTAGAAATGTAAAAAAACGTTAAATGGATCAATTTTAAAGTAGAAGATTTTTTCGATTTTTGTTGAGATTTTGGTCGATTTTTGAACGGTGAATGGCAAAATCGACCATTACAAGTTTAGCTTAAAAACATTGAATTTAAAAGCTAAAAGTGTATAGAAACATATGGTGTTTCATTAAAAAAAACTTAACTTATTTTTGGAACATGCTGTATAGTTGAAAGTAATTAATTTTTTATAATATAATTTTTTTTTTAATTTTAACATTTAAGGTCAGTGGACTTTACTCTCTGGGACATCCTGTATCTTAACTTTCTGAATTAGTTGGTGTTTTTTCTTGATTGATTAATTTTGGTTTCAGTTTGGTGGGAAATTAATTTCGTTTGATAACGTGGATCAGCTCGGTCACCGAACCGTTCAAATCAGTCAAGTTATAACCGAACCGGAACTAGTCCAAAAGTCAACCGAACTAGAACAAGCACTAGAGTACGGAAATTTTAGCGAGTATTGTTCACGCAAAGCTGAAACGACAAACGATCAACACACTAAATACATTTGGCATTTTTTACGTGCCAATTTTGAGGATAATCCACGTTCAGAGTTATTAAATTTGTTGGGTTATCGAATCGAGGACGTGAATAATAAACTCAATCAATTTGTAAATCGGAAAAAAGTGGATGAAGTGACGAATCGTTTGGAGGATTTGAAAGATCCTTTTGATGCAATCGCGGAGGGAAAATCAACGACGACACCTTTTAAAATCAAGACAGGGGATGATACAGAAGGGTTGATAACACAAGCACTGCTTTTGGGGAATGTTGAAGCTGCGGTTGAATTGTGTTTAAATGCGAAACGTTTTGCTGATGCTATTATTATTGCAATGACAGGTGGTTCGGATTTGTTGGCGCGCACCCAACATGCCTACTTGGAGCAATGTGAGGGTTATGTTTCGTCGTTGATTTCGGCTCTAGTCTCGGAAGATTGGGCTTCTGTTATCAACAATTGCGATTTGAGTAGTTGGAAGGAGGCCCTTGCGGCCACTTTGACCCATTCCACCGACGAGGCTTTGCCCCTTTTGTGCGAACAATTGGGACATCGACTCGAAATTGAAAGCCACGGAGACGTTAAACTAAAACAAGATTCGCAACTTTGTTACATCTGCGCCGGCAGTTTCGACAATCTTGTCAATTCATGGAGTGGAAACGCGAGGAATTCCACCACAGATTTGCAAGATTTGGTCGAACTTGTCGTTTTTTTGCAAAAGGCTGTGGAAAGGCAAGGACGTCAAGTGCAGATTTCCGGCGCTTTGGCCGATTTGTTGAGTCATTATGCGTCGATTTTGGCCTCACAGGGGAATCTATCGACGGCTTTGAGTTATTTGGGGAGTTCCCAGGACGAGAAAGTTGCCTCTTTGAGGGATCGATTGTATATTAGTTTGGGCCAGAAACCGGCATATGGGGCGCGACAGCAGTCACAAAGTCGAAGGTCGAGTCAAAGACAGTCGTTTTCTAGTTTTCCTAACGTGGGGGCGCAGTTTAATACGCCGGTGTCTCAGGCATGGCAACAGCAGCCCCAAATTGGGGCGTTCAATCAACCAACGAGGACGTTCTCGCCGGCGCCGCCGAGTCAGCCCCCGAGGCCTCCCAGTGTGGGCTCCAATCATGGTAAGTAAATTCAAAATTATATAATTAAAATTAAAAATTCAATGTATTTAAAATTTAAAATTAAAAAAAAAAAAAATTAAAAATAATATCAACTATTATTAACAGTTTTGAAATTTACAATT